GCGCTTAATACGCTTTTAACTATCTTATAAATAATAGATAATTGAGTAGATATTATAGTTATAAGTTAGTTTTCTATTTATATATATAGATTTTAATAAGAAATTCTTAATCTAAATTAAATTCTACTTAATTATAAAACGCTATTTTAATTTATTTATCTCTATACTATTATTAAAATATATCTTAATAAAAGTTTATAAATTAACGATAGAATAAATATTATCTTTATCTTTATCTTTATTATTACGAAATCTTCGATAGAAATTTCTTTTTTTTTATTTAATTAATTATATAAAGTTTATAATTACTAGTTAAGTTAATTAATATATTATTAAAATTATTTATTTTCTATTTTTTTAATTTAATATAGATAGATATATAATATCTTTTCTCTTTATAGTTATAACTTCTTATAATTTTTTATATTATTTAATAAAATCTATTATTTTTCCTTTTATTCTTAAATTAATAATCTTAAAGCTATATATCTCTTAGATCCAAATCGTTTTATTTATACGACGACTACGATTTATTATATTAAGAGTTTTAATTTTCTTAATATTAATTCTCTTATAAATTAGAAATATTACTTATTTTATATTCTCTAAAAGATTCTTACTTTTAATTATTATTTTTTAAGCGTATTATAAGCGTTAAAAGCTTATTTCGCTTAGTTAATATAATTTAAATATTAATTAATTAATTAATAGCGAAGGTTCGTATAAAGCTTTATAAATAAGTGATATACTTATTAATTTTTAATATATCTATTTATTTATATTTTTAATAATTGAAGATAATTATTAAATTAGCGTATAGTAAGTCTAATTTTATCTTTAAGTAATATTTAAATATACTTAAATAACGTTAAATTTATAATTTACTAAATCTTTAATTTAATTTAATAAAAATTTAATAATCTTCTATTATATATAGTTATAATTTAAAAATCTTTTCTTCTTATTAATATATAGCTTTTTTTAATTATTATTAAGAGGTTAACCAGTCTAAAGAATCTTATTCTTTTCGATAAAAAAGTTTTTCGATATTAGACGAAACGCTCTACTTATCTCTTATTATAAGAGCTCGATATTCTTAAATACTCTTTCTATAATAGATTAATAATTTCTTTAATTAAATTATCTTTCGAGATCGCTAAAAGATATTATTATATTCGAGATCGATATTAATTATAATTCTCTTCGTTTCTAAAGTTGCTAATAATCTCGATATATTATCGCTACTATTATAACTACGATCTATAGATATATAATCTTATTTAAGTAATATAATCTCTACTTTTAGAGATTAAGAATAACGTTTTTATATTAATATATCTCGACGATAAATAATATACTCTACTCTATTAATTAAGATATAAATAGATTTATTAATTCATTTATTAATATCTTACTTTCTATTAAAAGTACTTTCTTAACTATAGATAGTATTATCGTTATTATTACTATTACTTAATTCTTTATTATCTATAAATAATATAAAAATCTCTTTATTAGAGTTTATAATATATTATATACTCTAATATCTCTAATTATATTATAATTATATTATATTTAATATTATATTAATCGATAATAACTTATTTTATAGATATTATAACTACGATCTAGTCGTAATTACTATATTAATTTAGAATTATTATCTCTAAAAAGAATTAAAGAATTAGAATTATTAGACTCGATCTTAGATTAGAGTTTTAGAGTTATATAGTAATATAGAATTAGAAAGATATATATATTTATATATAGATTTAATAGTAAAACTAATCTTTAAGAAAATAAAGAAAACTTAAGGGAATCGCTTATTTAAGCTTATTCGCTAAGACTTCGTTAAGCGTATATAGATTAAACGATCTAGAGTTCTCTCGCTTAGAATTTATAAGTCTCTTTTCTAACAATATAGAAGCCTTAATAGCAAGAAAGAAATAGAATTATTAATCGTTATTGTACGGAGTTATTATAGAATTTTAGTGAGAAGTAGACATTTAAGTATTGAATCGAACTTACTTAGTTTCATAAGGAAACGCGAAATACTAGAAGATACGAAATTTTTAAATCCGATAAATCCGACTTAGATGGCTACTACTATTATAGCTATTACTACTACTTATTTAAATAACTTACTATTATAGTCTATTATAATAGCTAATACTACGATATTATAGTCGTCGTCTATAAATCTAATATAGTAAGTATCTCTATTTTAAACTTAGATATAATCTATTTTTATTTTAACGATATATATATTTAAGTAGTATTTAATATTTCGAAGACTTTATTATAGGCTTTACCGTAGTAACTATAGTAAGATAGAAGAGATAAAAGTAGTAAAAGAGGTAGAAGAGATAAGATAGTAGAAGAATAGGTAGTAGAAGAAGAGGTACGATTTTCACGAAGTAATAAATCGATAAGGTCTAAAAATCGAGGAATTAAGTTCTTTAATATAAAAGCCTTGATAGCAAGAAAGAACTAGAATTTTTTATCCTTATTATACGGAGTTGCCATAGAATTTTGATGAGAAGTAGGCATTTAAGTGTTAGACCGGACTTATCGGATTTTAAAATTTCGCATTTCCTAGTATTTCGCGTTTCCTCATGAAACTAAGTATCGGATTTAAGATTCCGCATTTCCTATAGAGTAGTATTATGCGTTTTCTCATGAAATTAAGTATTCTAGTAAACTATATTTTCTAATAATAATAGGTAATGGACCCATAAACCCGCGGTCCCACTGTTGCGAGTTGACTCACCTATTCATTTTTAGTATTCTCATTCTCACGCATCACACATATATAGGGTATATAGATATGAGATATTAAGTGATTAGGCCGTTCTCGACGCCGGGATAACAGCTGAATAGAGGCCTAAACAGACGTATTCGTACCTCGGCGCCGAGAAAACTCCCACGTCTATAATATAGATCTGAAGTGAAATAATAGCTAGCTATATATAGGTGTAAGTAAGTAAAATAAAAAGTATATAATAGCTCTAAAAGAGACGAAATCGAATAAAGAGCTATTAATAGATATAAAATAGATAACTATATAGCTCGTAGTGAACTAGTCTTAGCTTAGCTCTATCGACCTTAAGATAAGTCTAAGTAGAAAACCTTATTAAGCTTTATTTTTTTGATGGTTTAACTGATATGAGATATTTACTTCTAGATATATATTAGTATTAATAGATTTCGAGGTAGCTTTAATCCGAAGCGAGCTATCTCGAAACTATTTTAAAGAAACTTAATAATCTATAACTTCGATATATTATTACTCGATAACCGAACTGTTACTTTTTATAAATATTTATAAATATATTCTTAATATTAGTATATATAACGAGTAAAGGCCTATGAATTAAATTCATAATCATTTTTTTAATTAAGGCTATCGAGTAAGTAGGTAAGCGATCTTTAATGAGCGAACTTTGGTGAGCGATATTTGAATTCCTTACGCTTTAATAATTATAAGACTAAATTTCAGAATTCTTAAAAATTCGGAAAGCACAAACAGCGCTTCAAAATTTAAAAAAAAAATCTCAAAATTTTAATAGAAAACAAAAAAGTTATTCTATGTGTCAATAATATACGGAGGTTGCACGAAAGTCCTGAACATGCGCTAAAACCCTTGGTATTCTTGGTATTTCTAGCATTTTAGTAAATTTCTTAAATAGCTTTATAATCTACATACGATGTTTTATATAATTACGTATATACTGATTTGCTCGGTTAGCTGGATTATAGGGCCGCTTATCCCCTCTTTACGGCCCTTTCGATACTCGTTATCGCCTCGTAAACGAATAACTTCGGCAATATGTCTAGGTATACGCTCTATTCACTCCTGAATTCTCTTCTGTGACAATTTATGCTTTTATTGCGCTGCTATCGCTACTGTGCACACAGTAATATCGCAACTATATACCCCGTATGCATGCAGTAATATCGCTACTATGTACTTCATATGCATACACTTTATATATATAGTATTGATGTGATATTTAAGATATTCAAGATATTTGCCAAGAATGCCAAGGGTTTTGAAGCCCTAACCCTAATGTTCAGGACTTTCGGTGGCAACCTCCGTACACCTATTTTTTTGATGAGGGAGGCGTGGGAGGGCGAGTTTTTGATGGTTGCGGACGCTAATTTATTTACCCGCGATGACTTAGCCGGTCTAATCAAAGAGCGTAGCGAACCCGAATTTATGATTAACTGTATATATAAATTCAAGGTTTTCAAGCTCAGCCCTACCTTATTCTTTTATATATACTGACGAGTAAAGGCCTATGAATTAAATTCATGAAGTTGGATTTTTCTAAGTCAAATCGAATTTTAGCCCTAGCCCTAAGTGAAATCGAAATCTGATCGCTTGCTATGCGTTTTTGACCTACTTCCACCACTATAAAATTGATTTAATCTATATGATATACAGGCATATATATGCGGAGAGAGGCGCGCTAAGGCCTATTTAGGAAGGTGTATTGAGTGTGGAGGATTGATCCATAATAATTGCCTATAAAAAATAGAGAAAGGCTATATCCTTATGGCAAGAAGTATCGAAATACCGAAAAGAAATGGAGACAACGTGCCAATTAGTGGTGTGAATCCCACAATATCTCCTGCCGTAGTGAAATCTTTCGAATAATGAGATAGCTGTAGACATCGGACGGTTTCAATTCGTCCAAATATGTATCGTCCGATGTCCCTCCTGCAGAGGCCCAATTGACTGTGATCATCGCAGTAGATCCTCCTCTTGTGACGTCATTGTAGTGATGTACCATATCAATACAGTGGGGATGACAGGCCAAGTTGCAGTGGTGTTCTCCGCTTGCTGAGTAATGATTTGACGTGGGATCTTGGAGAGCTGAGCCGTGTTCTTGACGATGGTGGTCTTATTGCCACTTGGTTTCTTCGCAGTATTCTCCGTAGTGTTCTCCGCATTTGCCTGTTGTAGTTCCTTCTCTTGCTCCTTCTCTTGTAGAGTATCAGACTGAGTGGCTAGCTGAGTGGCTGACTGAGTGGATGACTAAGTGACTGGCTGACGACGCTTGCTGAGTGATGATTTGACGTGGGATCTTGGAGAGTTGAGCCGTGTTCTTGACGATGGTGGCCTTGTTGCCGCTTGGTTTCTCCGCAGTGTTCTCCATAGTGTTCTCCGCAGTGTTCTCCGCATTTGCCTGTTGTAGTTCCTCCTCTTACTCCTTAATGCAGTGGGGATAACAGGCTAAGTTGCAGTGGTGTTCTCCGCTTGCTGAGTGATGATTTGATGTGGAACCGTGGAGAGCATATAACGTGGGATCTTGGAGAGCTGAGCCGTGTTCTTGGTGCTGGGGGCCTTGTTGCCGCTTGATTTCTCCGTAGTGTTCTCCGTATTCGCCTGCTGTATTGACTTCTCTTGCACTGGCTGAGTGGATTGGTGTGAGACCGTGGAGAGTAGGCCTGTTGTGTTACTGCTGCTGATGACTGTCTCCGTAGTGTTCTCCGCATTCGCCTATTGTAGATCCTCCTCTTGTTCAACTGAGTGCGAGGGTATCGACGCGTTTATGAGTAGTAGTAGGTACCTGTTGGGCTCGCTTGCGGCCTCGATTGCCAGTAGTAGCGGATTCGCCGAGGGGTGGCCTGGGGGCGTTAGTAGGGGCTCTAAGAGGCGGGTAAAAGGGGTGTATGTGCCTGAACCGGACGCGTTTGGTGTGACTACAATATTTGGATGTCAGTTTAACCCACTTATCGCTGGCTTGGGAGGAGTATGTAGGGGAGAACGTATCCGTTCGGGCTCTTTTTAAGGGCCTTCCAACGCGTTTATGAGTAGTAGTAGGTAGCTGTTGGGCTCGCTTGCGGCCTCGATTGCCAGCAGTAGCGGATTCGCCGAGGGGTGGCCTGGCTCTAAGAGGCGGGCAAAAGGGGTGTACGTACCTGAAACGTTGAGTGACCTTTGGGCGAGGGGTATCGAAGACGATTGTGATAGAATTGGTAGAGTGGTGGAAGAATAATGGTTACATAAACAGGTGGAAGGATTATTATCCGATCCCGGACGCGTCTGGTGTGACTACCATGACTACCATATTTGAATATCCATTTAATCCACCAATAGTAGGCCAAACTTCATTATTTTTACAGCGTTAGAAAGCGCACACTGAGCTCTATAATTTACGAAATTATGAAGAAATAGTATCCGTAGGGAGCTGGTTATTTCAGAGTGTAAAACTTCTACACACAAATTTTTGATGAGGGAGCTCGGGAGGGCTAGCGGGCTGACTCAGTCAGTCTAGCCAAAAGGCGTAATAACCCCGAATTTATGATTGGCTGCACATACAAATTCAAGGTTTTCTAGTTCAGCCCTACCTTATTCTTTTATATATACTGATATACTGATAGAATGAGGTAGGGCTGAGCTTGAAAACCTTGAATTTGTATATGCAGTCAATTATTAATTTATTAGGTCTACGCTTTTTAGTTAGACACCACGGATAAATAAATTAGCGTCCGCAACTATTAAAAATCTCTCCTCCTACTTTTTACTATTTTCTATTAAAATTTTAAGTTTTTTTTTTTAAATTATAGCCCGAGACATGCGCTTTTCAGAAATGAAAAAATTTTAAAATTCGGTCTTATAATTATTAAAGCGCAAGGAATTCAAATATCGCTCACCAAAGTTCGCTCGACAGCCCTGATCAAAAAACAGGTGCACATTATTTAATTTTAGAATAACTTTTTTATTTTCTATTAAAATTTTAAAATTTTTTATTTAAATTATAGAACGTAATATGGGCTTTCAAATAAAAAAAGAATTACTAAATTTAGTCTTATAGATATTTAAAGGCAAGGAATTCAGATATCGCTCATTAAAGATCGCTTATTAAAATTTACTCGACAGCCCTAATTGAAAAAATGATTATGAATTTAATTCATAGGCCTTTACTCGTATATAATAATAATATATCAAATTTTCTAAATTTAAAGTTCGAAGTCTTTAAAGTTATTAAGCTTTTTAATTTTTTTCTCTAAAAATCTTAAAATAATTAAAATATTAAATAGTTAAATAAATCAAAAAATAATATTAATAAAACTTTATATATCTTTACTTATATCTATAAATTATTAAATATTAATTTAAAATTATAAATTAATTAATAAATTAATTAAGATAATAGCTTAGATAAATTAAATTTAAATAAATATTTAATAAATATAAATTTATAAAAACTGGCCTGGCTTATTCTATAATAATATTCTTAGACAAACCTACTCTTCTAAAGTATACGCGCTTCTGTATCTCATTGAGCGAGGTCTTCGGTCTATATCATCGTTTGTTTCTTCGCTGTGAGAACCAGTTCCACTTGAGACCGCCTTCTCTCCAAGTCATCCGACACTCACACCACAAACCCTGCTCTATGTCTGTCAGCTCCGCAAGATTTTGGATACATTATCTTTCTAGAACCGCAAGCTTCCAGTCACGGCCTGAGCTTACAGATTTGTCGACCGACCTTTTTATCCCAGAGCCTTTTCCTCTACTCGTTGAAGTAGAATCTACAATTCTCATTTCCGTTAAGAACGATATCCAGGCCGTCATTGAAACCTTTGAGCCATCAAAAACAAGCTTGAGAAGACCTTCAAGACACTTCATAACCCTATAATGAAGTGTATCCCTTGAGAGTTGGATGTGGAGTAGCCACTTGGCTGCCCGTTCTGGCTTATGAAACTGTACAGGATAAGTAGGGATCAGGCCTTCACATACCAATACTGGTCAGCACAATTGACTGGTTAAGGCCTATCGACACCGATGCCATCTTCGAGAACGAAACAAAGGTGAACTTATGTATACGTCACTGCCGCTCTCATTCATAATTGATGCTAATCTGCTTTGCACACAGCTCGAGCAGGCTGCCCTTTATCTTATATTGTCTGCAGATAATAAACCCTACGGCTGCCACATTTCTACGCCCATTCTAGCCTACCGTATTTCAATATGGTGTGTTTAAAGAGGATGGGATAATGATGGCGCGGACCAGGTGAGGACCATAGACAGAGTCAATGGGAGACTGAGCACAAAGCCGATCAGCGAGAGGGGTGTGGGAGGCGGTAGAACACATTGATTGAGGTATAGAGTGGAGGTAGAGTCAGTGAGCTTCTTCAGGTAACCAACATTGATCAAGGAGTCATAAACGGTCTCGTGAATACACACGGGTAAGTCGTTCCCGGACACCATTCACTGCTGTTCGCAATTACTGCTACACGGTCACTCTAATCTTGTGTGACTGCATGGGCGCCGTGAAGTCTTTACGAGCTTCACTGCATCCGTGTGAAGGTCTACCTTGGACACCCCCAAGTATTTAAACCTCCCAAACTTTCGGCACCGTTGCTTTTAGACACACATCTCTCTCCGTCCACGTCTCTCGTGACGATTCGTTCATTGTGTGCTACGGCGATCAACATTTCAAGTACTTTTGATCTATTCAATCTCAAACTATTGCCGCACATCTCTACATCTACCCGGTACCAGTATTTTGTATATCTATACATACCAAAGTCCAACGCGAATCCGAACGCTGCTACAAACGGTGCTCAACAGAGTATGGAGATGATGAATTTTAGCTGAATGATCGCATTCCGGAAGCTCACCGTGACCACATCTGAATTTCCCGCTTTGATTTTGCGTGAGAGTCATCCGAGGACTTTGCGTCATACATAAAGTACGTTGATGCCCATTGTCGTCTCACATGTCAGTGGAGATTCCTTGAGAAAGGTAAGACGGAACGAGACTAGATATGGCTAATGAACGTTAAATAGAATGAGAGATACTCAACCGACGAAGAATGAACCCATCATCGTGCCCTAACTCGCAGATAGCTCTTCAACAAACAAAGAGCAGCACTTGACTGACTCTAATCATAATTTTGTCAAGTTTGATATCGATATGACCGCCAGCGTATCTTCAAATACTCGATTATTGAGAGGACTTGCGTGAAATTATCTGAACTTGATAATAAAGATTGTTTAGACTTGGCTGCTCCTACACCTCACCGCTAGCCTAAAGGTGAATGTCGCAGAGAACAGAACGTGTTTACGGCAAAATTTATAGCTGGAAGTCGCAATTTAGATAGAGTTTACTCAATCTTTTAATTTATCTGGCAAGCACTTGAGCATACTTCTATCTTATACCATTCTACGGTTCCATCCCGATCGAATATCTTCAACTCAGGAATGGCCCCAAACACCCTGAAAACTCTGTCGCTGAGATCTCAAGATCAACGAAAAGCTTTCCGCGGTTTCGTACTTCTGAATCCTCGAAGGTGAAACCTTAGTCAGCTCCCAAATTGTCGAGGTGAACTGTTTACTTCGGAAACCCAAATCTAGCCCTTTTTTGAATACCATCTGTCTCGCGTACAAATAGTATTTCTTCTTGTTCTAAGTTCTTAAAAAAAAGGCAAGCTGCTGGTGAATTTGAAGAGTTTCAATCATTAGATTAGATTTTCTCTTCTCCTCTCATTCTCCAAGGTCTTACGAATACTTACAAGCGTTTGCAAGCGTTCGACTAATTAGTCGAACTAACGTCGTCACAGATATGGGCGAGCTCCTGCGCAACTCTAACAGATGTCAGGATTCGCGATTATCCTGTTTTTACGAGTGACTGAAAGCCTCTCTGGATCTGGAGAAAGGTATTTGAATTTCTATTTCCCCTACCTCTACATTACATCTAATTCCAGATTGTGATTAAGGCGCAGGGTTCGATACTTCACATCTAGTTTACTGATGTATTCAAGCAGCCCCCCAAGGCGGTTCAGGGACTACCAGCAGTCAATTGAAAGAAGCCCGAGAACAACGCCAAGCTCTTCTCAGCAATTCTGACTTTCATTCCTAAAACACCGGATTATAAGGCTACCACCACCCTTGCCCCTTTCGCCAAGTGTCAGCACATCATAAATGGCCGTGTCACCAAGCGTATTTCTCCAGCACTCGCGAATTATAGCAATACAGCCTCTGATATCCTCAAGAACACCACCTTCGCTTGAGACACAACCTTATAGCTCCACAACGTCTACGAAGCGGAACATTGGCGAGGTTATCGATCTTGCTATCGATAACGATAACGCCAAGTCGTTAGAACTCATTGAGCGCAAAAAGTCGAGAAGCTTCACTTATTGAACTGAGATTTTCATCGAAGCGATGACTGGGCAGTCAGACGAGAATGGACGTCTTTCACCACATCAGCAGCGAAAGGTGCAATGTCGAAAGGTGCCATGCGAGAACGAAAATATCCCAGTAATCATTGGTGGTCCTGGAAAGCTATCACTCAGCATCGAGGATTCGACAATTGACAAGTTCCAAAGTTCCCCTGAAGAGTTCCTACATACTGGTCCGAATCCGGGATAAGCCTGAACGATAAATCGCTTGCCAAAGCCTCGGTGGACGCATGTCGCCCGTGGGCAACCAGCGACCGTTCATGACAATGCCGCGCATAAAGCCATGGTCCGAGAATTCCTCGCGGAACATGGGATGACCTATTGGGCCGATCTCTATCGAGATCACCTTGAGGAAAAAGATGTAACAAAGGTTTTTTGATACCCACGAGATGCTGACCGAGAAGCCTCTAGGTGAGCAATCGGCAAAAGACATCAGAAGGCGGAGATATTGATCAGCGTCACAGATGTCCTACATGAACCCTGGCGGGAGATCCCGTCCCTGCCCTTCCAGGGCGCAAGAGTCACCAACGACCACTTCCATGGTCAGCCTCGAAGGTGCCTTAGGTGCATCTATCATTACCGATCGAAAAGATGATTTCGCAACGCCAGAAAGAGCCTTGACAACAGCAAAGACCATATCAATGCCATATTGAGAAAGGCTGCAGACACGGTTTAGATCTAAACCCCCTGCGTGATAGCATTGTGCGACGAGGAGGGAAGAAGTATATGTATATGCAGAGCTGCTGGCACCAAAGGTAGAATCTCCCTGCGAGCCTAAGATCTCCATCAAAGCTAATTTGCTGTATAGCCGGTCGTCCTGCCAAGAAGCCAAAGGGTTCTGCCGCCAAGGTCAACACTGGTGGCATCCGTGATCGCCACCTCACCCACCTAAAACTCTCATACATGACGGAAATTTTTCCAAAAAGCGAATGGACTGGGCGCCATCTTTGAGAACCTTGGGCAAGGCTCGAATACAAGCGAGGGTAGAAGACCCGATCTCGACGGAAACAATATCGCGAGATACAAAGACACCAAAGCGAGCAAGAGTCAACTTCTCTGTTGGAGCACCATATGGGAAGATTGGAAAACTAGAAAGAAGGCTGATCCCGAGATACCTCTCAGTGAAAAGATTCCACCGCGGCCTCTTCCAATGCCCAGTATGCGATTCGCAGTTCATCAAGTGGCAGTGAGTCAACTACCATTTTGAGAGCTGCGTCGCCAAGAATGGGAATTCAAAGGATTTGGAGTGGAGCAATCATCAAAGCCTTGAAAGAGTGGCGAAACGTGCTGCCCCAGGTAGCAAGGATTCACATACCACTAGAACGTGAGCAGCCGCTTCGGAGGAATTGCCCGCGGATACTCAAATCACAATGGCGGCGCCGATTGCCCATATGAGAGCACCATTGCCGAGCTCAGATACACAGTACTCTGATCCCTCAAGTGCTCTCATATATATAAAATTACACAAGCATAGAGATCGCTTTGTCGTTCATGGTGTGGCCCTTGGCTTACACTCCTCCTTTTTCAAGGCAAGTCTCAATAGTCGCTGGGCCAATGGCAACCATGGCTCAGCAGAAGAAGGTACGAAAAAATGGAAATACCAGTTACGATTCGACGAAGAAACCAGAGATTTTACTGATTCTCTGGATCTTCTGGCCAGAGCAATAAGTCAAGCAAGCCTGTGGCCCTTGATCAGTACTTATGTTTGCGACAGGCTACACAAGCAGATCAAGCGATGGAAATGCCGGACGTTAATGTCGAAACCGCAGCAATGTTCACTAAAAATGCTCGATGGGTTCCACCAGACACCAACAAAACAGACTCGAGAACGTATACTATTGAAGCTCATCTTCAATACCTGAAGCTCGTGCATCACATCCCACTAGTCAGCGATCCCAGCAACTTTGAGAACGCTGTAAAGTCAATGCCTGTCGAGGATAGAGTTTAGGAAGCTCCAAGTGTCATGGAAAGGCAACTGAGGGAACAACCAGCTGCTCGGAATGATCTTGGAGGACGCAAAAGCGCAGGAGCTGCTTCTTTAACAACGAGCCAACAAGACGTGCGGCAATTCAGAGATCGCCTCAAATCAGCTCTTCCAAGTCAAACTCCGCAAAAACAAGGATACGAAAGCGCGAGCGATCTCGAAAGCCTCCATGCGCCTTTTCCTCATCCAAAATGCCTGTGACGAAAGCCTCGTTTGCACCAGCGACGACGCATCGCGAGCCTAGGGGGAAGCATGGTCCGACTTAACGGTGTTCAATATCCGTTTTCAGCACTAATACCACTTCTTGATTCATGAGCCACGCCATTTTGAGCCAAATTCGGACGTACCTTCACCAAAACGCCTGCTCCAAATGAGGATTCCAAAGCTTGAGCCAACTCTGCTTGAGCTTTTGTCTTATAAGACATCCACTTTGTCTTATAAGACATTACCCTTATCCTATAAGACACCTTCCTTCTTCTCAGGGAGTCCCCTTGACTGATAAGGTTCTTAGCCAGAAAACGATTTCCCGTGACAAAGTCAAGAGGGTGACTGACAATCGAAGCACGATATCATGAGCGGACCAGCCCAAGGGGCATTTAGATCCATACCAGTCCTACAAGTCATCCTCTCATCAAATTATTTTATATTTCAAAGGGGAGCTGCGATAACTAAGAAGAGCCGTAAGAGTAAGGAGTAATCCCATTAGCACGAAGATAAAGGAAGGAAGAGAGATTATAAACGTTGATGAGACATCGAGTGAGAAAGTTCTTCTTTTTTACAAATGTTCTGCCTCTTTAAGAATCATAACTGAGAAGATGTTTTTAGATCCCAACGTGATCGTTAATGCGCTTATTCGTTTTATTAAAAAAATGTATAACACATGCTTAGCTGAGTTGTAAAATCTCTTGTTCAAGCGACCCAAACGCTTCGCGATTGTAGCGTTGAGATTCTAGGTCTACCGCTTCTCAAAATTGTTATCGTTGAAGACCAGAGCACCGGGAAGAGTTCCCTCATCGAAGGCATTAGCGGAATCAAAGCCCCCCCCGTCCACCATGCCGGGACATATCATCAACATTGTTAAAAGTCTTGTCACGGGAGAATGAATACATTTGATCAGGATCCTTATCGTCTTTGCTCCGCGTTGCGAAGACCTCTGACAATCCTACCAAGCCTTCACCACCAAGATTTGAATAACTTCCTCGATTCCGTGGCTCGTTACTCAAGGATGCCTCCCGTCACGAGACCTAGGCCAGTCTTACGTTGGGCGGAAGGCCTGCCCAAGAATGAGGAATATTACTGGGATGAGGCTGTTCCCACCGAGGAACTGCAAGCAGGTGTTGATTCCCCTCCCCATGACATGAATCTTTCCGATGCTTGGACCGCCAAAATAGTGGAGGCGCGACACATCTCTGGAACCCAACGACATGAATACAGGCCCCAGGTCTTCGCGAGCAAAGCCCTGCACCAGAATTACATCATGAAAGGCCAAGCAGCGAAAATGGACGTGAAAGACAATGGAGGAACCAAGTGGTACTACAAGGTTGTGTTCGGAATTTGGCAGATGCATGGAGATGAAGGGGAAGAACGCGACTACCCTCGAGATGTTAGCATTCACACCAATGCCACGAAGCACAACAACCACAATCTCCACCAAGGATACCTCTGCTTTGTTCAGAACTCCAAGTACAACTTCGAGAAAGCTAAGAAAGTCGCTGCGAAGAAGGCAGATTCTTTGAAGAAGACTGAGGACACTTTGCCAGAGACCAAGAAACGGACGGCATCGCCGTCGGACGCTAACACGAAACGACTCAAGAATGACGGAGCCTCGACACACAAGACGAGGTCTGGGTCAGGAAATACTACAGGCGAAGCTGAATTCTTGAGAAAGGCCTCCGAGAGGCCGGAGGAAAAGAAGCCTGAAACCCCGAGCGGAGATGTGATGATCAAGAAGGAACCGACTTTCAAGCCGTTCGTCTTCGAGGATTCGGATTCAGAAAAGGAAGTCAAGGATGGAGGAGATGCCTGCGATGATTGCTCGGGTATGAGGAAGGAGATGGCAGAATTGAAGGGTACTCTCGCAAGAACGGAAGGAAAGCTGATGGCACTGTCAACGGTGACGGAAAGGATCCATGGAATGGTTACTCCACTCTTAGCTCAGCATCGAATCGCCACGAAACTTATCAGGGGAGCTACCAAACTTACGCCTTTCCCCGACAAGAACAATGAGCAAGTCAAGGATAGACAGGAGGATCTCGACAACATCAAGGATTACCAGGCCAACAACAAAGCATTACTGGATGGGATTCTAAAGACATTGAACGAAGCACAAGATAAATTCAACGACGAATACCCAGAACTGGCATCTTTGTTGTTCACTCACGTCCAGGACGGGAAGCCAAGCAAGGAATTTGAGGCATGGAAGGAAGAAAATCAACAATGACTGGCCGACCGAGACACTCATGCCGCTATCGCGAATGTGGAGAAGGACATTACTTCCCAGCCATCGCCTTCACCCCGGTAAATGCCCCAAGCCGGAACACTCATGCCGCTGTCGCTTCAGTCAGGGATGTCTTTACTTCAGTCGCGATCCAGAGAAGCACACTCCTATCGAAGAAGAGCCTTTCCCGTCTGTTCCTGTCGCCAGTGCTGACCCGACGCCGTTGCCTTCCCCTACGTTTCCTGACCCAACTCCGGTTCCACCTATCACGCAAGCACCTACTTCTTCCGTTCCCGATACTACTTCAGATACTACTTCAGATCCTGGCCAGACGCGTTCAGAAGTTGCTACTTCAGATCCTGTCCGGATGCGAGATCATTCTACAGGAATTACCCCAGAGCTTGTCCGTATGATTCTTTTCTTCAAGAGAACCATTTCAGGCCAGGAGAACGATTTCGGGAGAACTAAGCCTCGAGGACGTCATGGCTTTCGCGGAGGGGGGCAAGTGTTACGTTCCTAGCCTAGCGTGACTTGGCGTGTCGCTGCTTTCTTCAGTTTCGTTCCTTCAATGGCTTTCTAAGTAGTATCAATCAACTACTACGATTCAAAAGAAACACCTTTCGTTATACTTGTGACTGCTTTCCCCAAGAATACACTTACTTCCTTCACCCCGTGAAACCTGATATTGGGTAGCAATTGAAAGGCGTGATCCGAAGCCTTCTGCAGCCTGCTGCAGGCTAGCCTGACATAACATAGCTTACTTTAATAGGAAGGGGTACTTGAGGAAACCTTCCTTCCATAAACTTTCGCACAACGCTCATGCTATATTATTGAGCTATACCTCCGTAGAAAGTAGATACACGTATTCAAAGCACTCAGTAAGGCCAGTACCTCTTCAATTGGCTTCAGGGGACGCCCATACCCCTGTAACCATGCCGAATAAGGCCAGCTGGCCCCAATGGGACCATGGCAGCCACGATTTCAAGGAGCACGCATTCATGCTGAAGTTGTCGATGAACACCATGCTGAAAATGATAGACGAAGGCCAGAAACCACCAATGGACGAAGTAGCTGCTGCCCTCAGGGCGGCGGTAGCATTTGCAGAAAGGGCGAACGATGAACCCAAAATCCAGACAGTCTTGGACGAAGTACGCAAACTAGCCATTGACTCAAGCAACCGAGACAGCAATATGGAGGAAAAGATTACGCATATCAAGCACCAGGCAGCTAGCCTGGGAAGCAATACATCGGCGGCCAGCTACGCCAGCGTACTGGGCCGGTCCTCGACATCCTCCTCCACCACCGGAGGAATCCCCATTGTACCACCAGCAATGCCGAAACAAGGCCAAGCACCATATAACAAGCTAAACGAGATCATTGTAAAGCTACAAGACGAAACAGCAAGCAAGGCATTGGAGGGGAAGACACCGAGCGAGATGACCATGATGGTCAATGGATATATAAAGAGCACGGACACCACAAGGAAACCTGTCAGGACGGCCAGGAGGCTAGCGAGTGGCGATATATGCATCATGGCTGCAAATGAGGAGGAGGCGAACAGACTGAGGGAAAGCAAGGATTGGACTCTGAAGATAAGTGGCAGCGCGAGAGTGATCACCAAAACGTATGGCCTCCTACTCCATGGAGTGAGGATCAATACATTCGACACCAAAGACATGGCCACGGCAATCAAAAGGGTTCAGAACGAGAACGCCAACACGCTGAGCCTCGACATAGTGTGGCTGGGCTGGTTCGGCGCGAATAAAGAGGGTTATGACAAGGGTTCATTGATCATCGAATTAGCATCCCCAGAGGAAGGAAATAGAGCACTGGAAGAAGGCCTAGTTATCGGTTCGGAACTACATGGCTGTTGCGTCTACAACAAGCAGTGTAGATCGAAGCAATGCTTCGTATGCTGGAAATACGGTCACCTGTCGACTGCATGCCCTAAAAAGGATCACTCAGTGTGCGGGAAATGCTCAGGGGAGCATCATCATAAAGATTGCACGGCCGACACTCGCAAATGCCCGGTTTGCGAGGGACCACATGAGGCTTGGAACAAGGTATGTACAGCAAAGAAGAGGGAGATAGCGAGAATGAGAATGGCGAGACAATGGACTCCTTCACGATTCGTGACAACGAAGGAGGCACCGGCTAGCTACCAAACAAGCGATCAATCAAACAACTACTTTCAGAATGCGTCCAATCGTGGGCGAAACGAGGAATTTTTCCCGAGGCTGGCATCCACGCGCGGTGGGCCAGCAGGCAGAGGTAGGATAGTCAGCAGGGGGAGGAATCAGAGCGCCGGACCTCGAAAGAACTACTACACCGAATCTCCAGCCGAGTGGAAGGAGGTATGCTTCCACATCACCAACAAGGGCCTCGCCTAGAAACAGATCGCCCTCCAAAGCAGTAGACGAAGCCAAACGATATGAGGACGGTATAGCGGCAGGGGAAATTAACAACCCCGAGGACGACAGACAGCCCCTGAGTCAAAAGAGTGGCAATGAGAGAATTGCGGTCCCCGTCAATGGGAACAAAAAGAGACATATCCGGTCCATCGACGACCAAGAAAAGGAGAACACTCAGGAAGGGGATACGGACTCTATGGACTGGGCGGAGCGAGTAAGCAACACTAACAATAACACCGAGAAATGGTAGCACACCCCAGTCAGCTATCAATACTGCAATACAACACAAGGAAATCCAGAACGGTCATGGTAGAACTCTTCGATAACGAAAAGATCTATGACATCGATATAGTAGCAATTCAGGAGCCCTGGAGAAACACCAACACAAACACGTCGTATCATCCCCTGAAGGATAGATTCAACTTGATCTACCCCTACCATAACAACACACGAGTGTGCTTCTATATCAACAAGAGAATATCACCAAAGCAATGGTACCCATCATATCACTCACCGGACCTCTGCACTCTTAACATCAAGTCCGAAAACAATAGAATTATACGCATACACAACATCTACAACCCCGGCGACCAACAAACAGACGGACTTGACGAATTACATGAGACGCTTGCGAAGTCTAAGGATGACGAACAGATCATGCTAGGCGACTTCAATCTTCACCACACGATGTGGGGGGGACCGGATGCTCGTATCGATGAGAGAGCAGAAGAACTAATACTCATAGCGGAAGAATTCGCCATGGAACAAGCATTGCCAGTAGAAACGGTGACATACGAAGAAAACTGTCAAACAACAATAGACCTACTATTCGCCACTCCAGCACTAACAGCAAATGTCATTAACTGCAATATCGGAAATGATTTCGAAAGCGGATCTGACCACCTCCCAATTCTCACAAAGCTTGAGCTGGCCGTGATGGAGTTAGCACCAACGACACGCCGAAACTTCAACAAACTGGACGCCGAGGTCCTGAGAGAGACACTCGCTAGAGCCATGGCATCGAAAGAGTGCCTAGCCAATCCCCAGGGGAATGGTGAAAACCTCACTAACGATGGCATCGATCATCAAGTAGCGGCCATTATTGACTCTATCCAAGCGGCCATAGAGGAGTCCACTCCGGTCATCAGGTTGTCGCCACGGTCTAGACCGGGATTCACGCCAGAATGTAAGGAAGCACAAAGGCGTTGCAAATCGCTGAAAAGAAGCTGGAGAACGACGCTCTCGGAGGAAGCATGGGATGAGTATAAAGTCGCCAAGAACTTCAAAAACAACCTGATCAAGAGAACTACCAGGAAGGCGTTCAGAGAGTTCGTGGCAGAGGCGTGCGAGTCGCCGCAAATGATGTGGAAAAAGACCAAGTGGGCCAGAAAACAACTTACAACACAGGCGTGTCTCCCTCCGCTATTTGACAAAGATAAACGAGAATACAACGAACCAGGCCCGAAGGCAGATCTTCTTATGAGAACGTTCTTCCCACCACCGGTACAGGCGGAGTTAGATGATATCAGCGTCGACACGGCGTACCCACAAGCCTACCTGATGGGCACGATCACCGTGAATGAGATAAGAAAGGCCATAACGCAATTGCCGCGGCCATGTCTTTGGTGTCGAATGTATTGATCCTCACTCCATGGAGTAGGAGGCCATACGTTTTGGTGATCACTCTCGCGCTGCCACTTATCTTCAGAGTCCAATCCTTGCTTTCCCTCAGTCTGTTCGCCTCCTCCTCATTTGCAGCCATGATGCATATATCGCCACTCGCTAGCCTCCTGGCCGTCCTGACAGGTTTCCTTGTGGTGTCCGTGCTCTTTATATATCCATTGACCATCATGGTCATCTCGCTCGGTGTCTTCCCCTCCAATGCCTTGCTTGCTGTTTCGTCTTGTAGCTTTACAATGATCTCGTTTAGCTTGTTATATGGTGCTTGGCCTTGTTTCGGCATTGCTGGTGGTACAATGGGGATTCCTCCGGTGGTGGAGGAGGATGTCGAGGACCGGCCCAGTACGCTGGCGTAGCTGGCCGCCGATGTATTGCTTCCCAGGCTAGCTGCCTGGTGCTTGATATGCGTAATCTTTTCCTCCATATTGCTGTCTCGGTTGCTTGAGTCAATGGCTAGTTTGCGTACTTCGTCCAAGACTGTCTGGATTTTGGGTTCATCGTTCGCCCTTTCTGCAAATGCTACCGCCGCCCTGAGGGCAGCAGCTACTTCGTCCATTGGTGGTTTCTGGCCTTCGTCTATCATTTTCAGCATGGTGTTCATCGACAACTTCAGCATGAATGCGTGCTCCTTGAAATCGTGGCTGCCATGGTCCCATTGGGGCCAGCTGGCCTTATTCGGCATGGTTACAGGGGTATGGGCGTCCCCTGAAGCCAATTGAAGAGGTACTGGCCTTACTGAGTGCTTTGAATACGTGTATCTACTTTCTATAGCTCAATAATATAGCATGAGCGTTGTGCGAAAGTTGCGTTTTACCGAGCTCGTAGCGAACGCACTACGGCAGAATAATAATGCGGGCTCCGCATATGGCAGGAGTTGCCGAAATATCACAAAGATATGTTTAGTGTTCTCTAGGCAGCAGCCATTCCATTGATTGGCTATCAACCCCGCAATACAAAACGACTTACACGCTAGCATGGTCGTCGGAAGCGCGCGCTATCTGCATCTCGTTCTTGATTCCATCATCCACTGGAAAAAGACGTGTTGAGATTCATTGCCTTTAGAGACAACTCCAATGCCCTGCAGTCGAAAGCGACAGCTGTATGTTCAAGCAGAGCCTACGACTGACTCTTCGCCGCCGCCCATCGCTAAACGACGAAAGCTCGAGAAGCAGCAACGACACAGGACACCCAGCTGGTTTTGGGACAATTTGTCACGGCAGTGGCTAACTCCTCGCACTCTCCGAGAGTTTGATCGAAGAACGGAGTGGCCTGCTACCCCTTCACCGCCTGATCGGACTGGCAAGGAAGACATTGACCTTGCACAGCTCAAGCGCTTCGCAAGACACGGTGGACCAAGCCTTGGGCACCTGAGAGCTGTAAGTTCCATCTAACCCTTTTGAAATTGCCTTCTGACTCTATACCAGTATCCAGAACCCGAAACCGCCGTTCCTTCCAATCGAACGATGTCGTCAAGTCAATCGGGCTCCCGGAAACGAGCCAAGACTGGAAGAGAATCGGATATTTCCTCGAAGACGAAGAAATCCTCTGCATATGACCCCGCCTTCGAGCAGCATCTCATTGATCATGGCATTTATCCTCATGGATACGACTATGATGATGACGATGGCTCTGTATATCCGGACAATTGGGAGGAAATAAATGAGAGGCTAGCGCAGCCACGGCCTTCTCTTTCGCCATCGCGCTTTCCTCGTGAAGCGTTTCGGAAGTTTGAAAAAACAAACATGCAGGCTTTGACCGAAAACACTGTGATGAGCAAGGCATTCCCGATCATTGCTGGCACCGCCGACATTCCCTCACAGGAGAACCTTCTCTTCGGAAACCTCAAACACCTGACCGATGGCTCTATCACCAAGGCCAAGCCAGACTTCTACGATGGGAGCCGTCCGGCGGATCTCAACAAGCAGATCCGGGAAGAGCTAGGGCCTTACATCGTGCCGTCGACGAACACCGCTGCACCGTGCTTGCCCAACTTCTTCACAGAGGGAAAAGGACCCAATGGGAGTACCGCCGTGTGCAAGCGACAAGCTTTATATGACGGTGCTTTAGGTGCCCGTGGGGTACATGAGCTTCGGTCATACGTTGACCCAGAGACGGCTTACGACAACAATGCGTATACGATCACGTCGACTTATCATGGCGGTTCGGGTGACCTCACGATCTATTCTACGCATCCTACTCCATCCAATAATCCCCAAAATCCAATTGAGTATCGCATGACTCAGCTTAGAGGTTGGAAGATGACGGACATCCCGGAAACTTTCCGACAAGGAGCTAGCGCTTTAAGGAATGCTAGGGACTGGGCGAAAGAGAAACGGGAAGAGCTTATGATTGCGGCAAACGGCAAGGTGCCAGATGCGGAACATTCAGATTTGGTTTCATCCACGCAGAGCTTTGTATCATTGTCATCGAACGAGGCCACTCACCCAGAATCTGAGACGTCAACTGACGAGCTTGCCCTGGACGTTGGCACGTTTACTAGCTCCAGTCACAGAACTCCGGTCAAAGCCCAAACGAATCTTCCACCCAAAGTCTCCCCGAATCGACAATCCATGAAAGCGTCTCAAGTCAAGAAGAGGCCTAGCAGGAGACCTGAAGCCTCACAAGTCATCTATAGAGAACCCAGGCTCTAGTGCAAAGAGGCACATCTGCGGCGATGATGGCGTGCGGAAACTGGTTTACCAGCACAACCCGCTCCAGCTGTCGTGCATTACCGGTAACACGGATTCTGCCGCTGGAAGGTTGGATGGCGTGCATTCGCGGTTCAGGCATTCACAGGGCTGTGCCTTGGTGTGCAACACCACTAAGGGCTCCGATGGAGGTGACCGAAGACGTCATGGGGCGCTGAGTATGGTACCTTCGCTGCCAGGTCGACTGGTCATATCGAGTTCCGGTTGAGCTCACGTCCGAGCAAATCTCGGATGCTAGGCTTCCAAGGGCATACTACGATGCGTTCCAGACCGCCATGCGGCTCTCGAACACCGTGTCATCCACCGTATCCAACGCGATGCTTGCCGTTCCCACTCGGTGGACTCGTGGTATTTTGAAGTGATAGATGTTGAGTAACAACCGGGTATATGGTTTTGGGATACTACAAGGATTGTATGGTACTACGCCAACAAACTCGACTGGCTTGCTGTTGTCAATTAGTCAACTCTAATGAATGATATATTTGCGATATCACTGGGTCTTTACTTTGTTGTGGACTTCTCAATGTGGGAGACTACTTACTGTTAGCCTTATCAAACTATCTTTCCGGATAGACCCGCTAGAGATGCCGAGGCATAATTTCAGCGCCCTCAGCAACTCTAGCCTCAGTAACACGTCCCCAGTCCTTGCAGTACAGAACAGTAGCTATCCAGTCCCAATTTATGGATCTCAAACTCCGTCACCTCTTTCTCTTGACTAAGAGGTTGACCTCTGTTCCTTTCTGGCATTCTCTTTTGTTGCTCTAGGCTGGGAACGGCCTTAGCCTTAGCATCTCGCCTCTTTTCAGCCTCCACAATGTCCTCATACCTCATTACTTTAGCAGTCCCTGAAACCCGAAAACCCGCAATCAGCGATCGCCGACCCTTATCTGCACGTGCCGGTCTTCCCCGTTTGCCTCCTCGCTGCGCCTGGTGTTTCGCCTCAAACTTCCGCAGCAGTTCCTGCGCATTTCCTAACTCGCTTTCGAGTAGCCATGTTTCCTTCCAGCACACCTTGTACTTATCGCCCCTTCTCGTCCGTCTCTTATCAACGATCCTTACGATCTCCCACTCCTCTTCATCCAATGTTAAAGCTCCTTGATCCTGAGGCCGCCCAGCAAGTGATAGGAGGACGGTGATGGCGTGAGGGGAATAGACGGTCGCTGCTATTCCGCGATCATCTCCACGAATAGCCTGCTCAATTCGATCATGGGATAGTGCGATACTGGGAGAGATGGGGCGATCGAAGGAAGAGGTAGTAGGTTCGGTAGTAGGTCCAGTGGTACTAGGACTCAAGCAACCGTGTGTCTTTGGCTGTTTCCCTGGGCGGGAGCTTTGGGGGTGTATGGTATCAATCTCAGACTCCACACTCGTGGCCCTGGTAGAAGCGTCTGTTTCGCCAGTCTTTTCGTCGTTATCCTCCACCATAAGAGGGTTATCTAAAAGACGTTAGAAGAAATCCCGGGTGCTGGTTAGAAATGCACTGAAGGGCATACCTTGACTGTCACCAACTTCACTGGATCGACTTGAGCTGGTTGTTTTCCTGTGTTGCTGGAATTTTCGCGAAAAGGGAAGCCGCCTGAAGACAGGCTTAGGCTACGATCGGATCCGTACGAAATCAAGGTCGCTTGATTTATCATCGGTATCATCTCTCTTGTCGATCACGATCGCGTCTTTCTAGAGTCATTAAACGCACCCGCAGGGACAGGTACCTGCGCACTGACCTTCACGCCGGCCCTTCTCCAACCTGTATACACCTTCTCCACCCTCGTTCAAACCTGCACTGAATCTACTTACCATCATTTACACTCTCGACGATTGTTCGGGTGTGGACGACCTGGTCTGTTATAACGTAGAGGAGTTCCTTCGCGCACGCCGCCGCCACCGCCGCCACCGCCGCCGCATAAGGCTGCCAGTCCTTGTTTTTCTGTGCATCGGCATAATCGCATATCCCTCGGATCACCAGACAGGGAAAATTGTCCATGAGACCAGCCGCCTCGATCAGTTTCACAGTTAGAGCAGGTCGCATGCCATTTCCAAGCGGCGAAGCAGGCGGAATGCTGTTGCCTGAAACCTGAAACCCTAGTGCATACATGGCAGGCTGACATAGTTCTTGGCCGTATAATGGGTTGGTAATCGCAGATTATTGGGTAAATACTCAGCTCAGAGGGACTTGGCAGCTGTCGGACTTGCTTCATCTCCCCACGATGCTGCTGCTGCTCGAAGGGTGTTGCCGTATTCTCCGCCTTAGTAATAGTAGGTAGTTGTGATAGGTGTGGAGTAAATCTTTAGTCCCGGGACTGTAGAATATTCTAGCAGCGGACTGTTCCGTAGAATAGGATACATGGGCGACTGCGGCCGACTGAAACCAAGCGGGCGAAGCTCTCGATGCCCCAACTTAGCCCAGCTGCCTGCTTTATTTACTCTGCATCTTGTATGTTTCGGTCAGAATGGATGAGCCATTGAAACTGTTGACTTTCGGTGTGTAACTGCGCATTGTTTTGATTTTCCGTGTTGACTAGCTTGTAGATGGTGGGGGGATCCGGGGCGTTTCCATGCTTCTCATATTGGACGAAATCATGAAACGCATACAACACGATCAGGGTCTTACAAATCTACCCCGGCCCTGCGATTATTTCCATATCATCGGAGGTACAAGTACAGGCGGGTAAGGCGCTTCCTCGATTGCGTCGAACGAGGAATACCGTACTCATTGCATGCAGCCTTATTTCCTTGATGCTGGGTCGCTTGCAAATGACGACAAAAGACGCATTGAGAGCATACAATGGAATCGCAGGAGCAGTTTTTTGTAAAGCGAATCAAAAGTGGTCCTTCCAGGATGGAGCCTTCAAAGCAACAACGTTGGAGAAACGAATCCAAGACTTGGTGGCAGCAAAAGAGCTAGGGGATTACATACTGCGGGAGAATGGCGAAGCCAAGTTCGCAAAGACTTTTGTGTGCGCAGTCCCAGCAGCAAATATGGCTCACCCACGGCTGTTCAGATCATACCTTGTGCGGGAAAACGCGAGCACCAACTGCAAGATCTGGGAAGCCGCGCGAGCGACCACAGCCGCACCAACCTTCTTCAAACGGATGACGATTGTGGACGATGGGGGAGCGCAGGAGGACTTTTTGGACGGCGGACTGTTGCTCAACAATCCTGTGCAGCTGGCGCTTGGTGAAGCTTTGACGGTCTTTGGAGGCGCGTCGAAGCTTGGGTGTCTGATCAGCATTGGCACCGGTCATCCTGGTACGATCGGTCTATCTCAGCCAGACGCCTTTCAAAGAATACTCCCTACAGACATGGTTGGAGTACTCAAAGGGATTGCAACAGACTGTGAACAAACCGCTCATGAAATGGCAGAACGGTTTCGGCAATCCCCGAACCGTTATTTTCGGTTCAACGTGAATCATGGCGTCGGCAATATCTCCCTAGAAGAATGGAAGAAAATGAATGAAGTACAAGTTCATACCAAAGCCTATATGCAAGATGTGGTGGTCTCGAGCTCCATCAACAAAGTGGTAGAAATCATTTGTCGAGCAAGTGAGCTTCAACAATCGGAGGTATCACTGCAGTCAGTATGTCAGTCGTGATTCAAAATGAGAAGATTTATTCATCTCTTTTGACGCTGCTTCGATCTTGCTTGCTTTGTAAGAGACTGATTCCGACACAGGCCAAGTCGTTCCAGAATCGGCAACGGAGTCTACGCCTGGTGCACCAGTGAAAAATCAAACGCCGTCTACTTTAGTAGTCTTTTCATAGGACGGGAAAACTTTTTACGAGCATTGAAGGAATATTTCACCGATCAAGGGCCTGGACAGCATTTACGACGCGAATACCTGCTGTATGGAATGGGAGGTGCGGGTAAATCGCAAATTGCTTCAAGATTTACCGAGAAGTGTCGACGAAGGTCAGTATATGTGGACTTATTTTCTTGTTCGATGTGACTACTAATCAATTTAAAACAGATATGAGTGTGTGTTTTGGATGGACGCAAGTAATAGAAATACTCTGGAGCAAAGCTACAAGAACATTGCTTTGAAAATTGGAACAGTCACAGACCCGAATTGTTCCTTGGAAGTGGCTCTACGAGAGTTAGAAAATTACAAAAGCAATTGGCTTCTCTTGTTTGATGGAGCCGATGATCTCGAGGACATTTCAGGACTTTGGCCTCCTGGCATTCACGGTGATATACTCTATACGAGCAGAAACCGAATGTTAAGGAGACTTGCTGGATCTCAAATGCGGTACGTTTCGGAAATGTATGAGAATGAAGCATCAGAACTTCTTCTCAAATCCGCGCGTCTCGATGTGTCAGTGAAGAGCTTCAAGAAACAAGCGTCAGACATTGTTACCAATCTCGGATGTCTTGCCCTTGCAGTTGATCAAGCAGGAGCGTACATAGCGAGCGGTGAATGCTATATTGATGACTTCTTAAGCACCTTCAATGCACATCGTCAACATTTGCTGCAAAATGAAGCGTACAAAGGGGCTTCAGGGTATGATCGAGCGGTCTATGCTACGTGGGACTTATCATACGCTGCAATTGCCAGACAGGCCGGCTCAGCAGCAAATGAAGCCTTGCATCAGGGTCCAAAAGCTGCACTACAGATCCTACAGATACTTCCATTTTTTCACAATGAAAACATAATGGAAGAAATCTTTAAAGCTGCGGCGGAAAATCCCGGGGCAGAGTCTGATGTCGCATATGAAGCAGCTGGTCAATGCCCATCCGCCTTGTTTCGCCTTCGTTCAGATGGGACTTGGGAGACCCAAAATTTTCGTTTAGGTATTCGGACACTAATCTCCTTCTCATTAGTCGGACGAGACGACTTCAGATGTCATCTCTTCATGCACCGTCTAGTCCATTCGTGGTCCTTGGATCGTTTAACAGCAATTGAAAAGAACCGCTTCTGCAATGAAGCTCGAGATATCCTTGCCAAATCCATTGCTTGGAGGTTCGCAACAAGTGACTATGCTTTCCGTCGAAACTTATTTCCTCATATCACCGCTCTCCAGCGTCAGATGACTTTATCTTCAAGTTCCACGAAAAGTCACAGATTAGCAAATTTTGCACTGGTCTTTTCGGAGGCTGGACGATGGGATGAGGCCGAGAAGCTGGAGGTGCAAGTGATGGAGACGAGTTTGAGAGTGCTGAAAGAAGAGCATCCAGACACGCTGAGCAGCATGGCCAACCTGGCATCAACATATCGAAATCAAGGACGGTGGGATGAGGCCGAGAAGCTGGAGGTGCAAGTGATGGAGACGAGTTTGAGAGTGCTGAAAGAAGAGCATCCAGACACGCTGACCAGCATGGCCAACCTGGCATCAACGTACTGGAATCAAGGACGGTGGGATGAGGCCGAGAAGCTGCAGGTGCAAGTGATGGAGACGAGTAATAAGAGTGCTGAAAGAAGAGCATCCAGACACGCTGACCAGCATGGCCAACCTGGCATCAACATATCGAAATCAAGGACGGTGGGATAAGGCCGAGAAGCTGCAGGTGCAAGTGATGGAGACGAGTTTGAGAGTGCTGAAAGAAGAGCATCCAGACACGCTGACCAGCATGGCCAACCTGGCATCAACGTACCGGTGTCAAGGACGGTGGGGTGAGGCCATCGAATTGATTAAGGTTGTTGTTGATCTACGTATCAAGACTATTACGGCCAATCATCCAGATACGCTTAGTGCAGTTGCTTTATTGGACGAGTGGTCAAGTACTTGAAGAAATTTTTACCTGTTGTAAGGTGGCTTTATATCAAATTTTCAAAGCAATCAAGCCCTTATGCAAAGTTTCAATCGCTATCGGCTCAACACTCCACCCCATGAAGCTCTAAGGCGCCAGAGAGCTGTGACGAAAGGTTTTTAGTAACTCCCTTACGTCTCTCCCCCGTTTGTAATCACCTTTCGACGGTATTTCTCTATAACCACCCTCGTGAGCTTCCTCAGCTCACCTCCGTCATTCTACTACCTTCGCACGTATTGCACAACCACCTCGAGCCGATCTTTCCGGGAGCCTAACCTCAATTCTGGCCGTCAGGCGAGAACACGACCGCGCTGACCCAATCTGAATGGCCTTCAAGCGTGCCGCGTGAGGCCCCTGTGGCTGGGTCCCACAGTCTGACAGTGTTGTCGTAGGATGCAGAGGCCAGAAGCTGGCCGTCAGGCGAGAAGACGACCGCGCTGACTTCACCTGAATTTCTGTGATAGCGAGCTTGACGGCGTGGTAGTTCTTTGGAGTCTCTGGCAATTTCAGAAGGGCCAGGTGGTCGTCAAAGGAAGAATCAGATCCAACATCATATTCCTCACAATCGAAAGTGAGGTCTGGTGGTACCGTTGAGGTGAGTAATAATTTGCGAACCCGTAGAAGAGAAGACTGCATCTTGCTATCTTGTGAGCCTCGGTTAGATTAATGTCAAGGCTTATAAGCGAAATGAGAGGTTCAGATCCAAGAGCAATTCGGAAGCGAAAAATCCCATGAACGTCGATGCTGAAGAGGTAGGTTTTGCCTTCGCGCAGGAGGGACAAAGGCCGCAGTGGCGTAAACGACTGAAAGAACTTAAACAAGCTAAAGTACACCATCCTCAATGAGCCCGTCAGACATGTCGCGCATGCTGACTGGTCCTTGTCAAGGTGACGGATTATGACGGGAGATATGTACAGATAAAGATTGATGACAAAATTGTGCTCATGCGAAAAGAAGACTGCCTTCTCAACGCAAGTCAGATACTGACACTGACTAACAAGAATTTCGGTGATATTGAACATCTCCTGCAGCTGATGGAACAAAGTATCAAGGTCGAGGTCCTTCCACCTATAGCAGGTATTGCTTCTTCATGCTCTTGGGTTAACTTCGAACACGGACAAATACTCTGCAAGCATTTCGGACTGGAGCAGGAGCTGCAGCCATTAATAGATCACGGACTTAAGCTCCAGCGTGATAAGTACAGCAAGCCTGTGGAGTATGTCCTTTTCAAGGGCTGCTAGATAGCCTTGAACGGTCCATCGATTGCGGTTAATAAAGGCAGCAGCCTGCGTGATGGCTAGCGGAATAGATCCCAGGACATCCAGCAGCCTTTCTGTACTAGACACGTCGAAAGAGCTCGCAGATCCTTTCAGTTTCAATCGCAACAATGCTTCCGCTTCTTGACTTGAAAGTGGCGGCACCTCCACACACAATTCTCCGTCGGCTAGATCCTGGCCTACGGGTCTACTTCTCGTTGTAACGAGTAATGACTTCTGAGAATGTAAGATAGCTGGAAGGTATTCGATTAGAGGTTTCTGAGTTTGTGTAACAGTAGCAGGTGGTACATCCGATTCAGCTGAAGGGAAAACGAGCTCTGCATTGTCGGCATTATCCAAAATCATGAGCCAACTATGATCCTCCTCGTTGAGCCATGTGGAAATCAGTTCATATGGATCAGTCTTTGGCTCGTCACACGCAGGAAGTTTCAGGCTCCGCGCAATGTCGTGACAGGCCTACAGGAATGTACCATAGCTAGCTGCATACACCCAGAAGACATGACTCTGCGGTCGAGACTGCTGAAACCGGTAAGCGTACTCAATGGCGATCTGAGATTTCCTGACACTTGTATCAGCATCTATGCGGGTCTGTGAGGGAGAAAGTATACCCAACTCCTCCTAATCCGCATACTGAGGCGCGGTGATGCATGTGAAGTTGCCGCTCAATCTGAGCGAAGATAAGTTTTCGGTCAATGAAGTTGACATCTCTTTCAAATGGCACGGAGAAGAGAGGTTTCACTAAAGCCGTCATGGGGAACATCAGCGCTATACATAATCTGTGATCTAGCATTTATCTGGTGACTATTAAGAAAACAGTTTCCCAATCCCCATCGAGTTCTTTCCCTCATAGTAGTAAGGACGTGACATCAACGTCCTGACCTGCTCCTTCCAAGGGCCAACGTAGTAAATATCTATAGTCTACTCACCCATTTCTGCAGTCGCCGTCTGTGTGCGGGCAATCTGACGTTCTGGGATAATGCCAAGAAGTTCTTTGGCATAGGACGCCGCCGTGACCGCCGCGTACCCTTGCCATGCATCATTTTTATGTGAATCCGAGTAATCGCAAATGCCTCGAATCACAACGCACGGGAAATCGTTCATAAGCCCTGCCGCTTCCATCTCAAAACATAGGATATCATGCTCTTTGATCAGCCGATCTCGTGCAATTGCGTCTTTCATCAGTGTGTCCGCTGATGCAATAAGGCCATAATGCACCACCGGCTCGTCCGGGTCAAGCTCACGCTGCAGTCGCCGGAGTAGCGGCGGAGATGTGCTATCACAACCAATCTCGCACCTATAATCACCTCCACGGTGAGTATAGCTAGATTCGTATAGCCTGTCATGCTCTACGCCTGGACGTTGGTATTTCCCTCGCAATCTTGGATTTTTGGTCATTATCAACCGAATCGACTCGGCGATATGACTGCCTCTCCTCTCGTGATCTGCGCTCAGCTTGGTCAACGCGGTCAAGAGGACTGTTGGTGGCGAGTTCAAGGAACCCGTTCGCTCGAATTCCTGGTCTTGAACCGCCTTGCCAAAGTTATAGGGAACCACACCACCCTCCTTCTTGATAGGACAGCCGACCACGATATCCCCAAGTCTGATATCATGCTTGCCGCTGGGTGCCCCTCCTCCGATGCCGACCATCAATCCGATCCGGATGGACTCGAAGCTGCGCAGCATGTCTTTAGCCACGCTGGCGGCGGAGGCGATACCGTACCTCCCTTTCGGAAGGCATGCGATGACGATGTGGTGATCGCCAATGCGACCGAGGGTATAGGCGTTGTCGTCGTGAGGGGAGTCGGTTGGTAGTAGAGGGTGTTCCTCGTCCAGCAGCTCGCAGGCTGCCACGAACTCTGTCTGTACCGCACAGATCCATCCCACCGTGTAGTCCTGGCGACGCATACCTTGTCAGGTTTTTCAATATGTCCTCGTGAGATGCAGCGCCGATGACGAGGTGGTGATCGATCGTGCAGCTTCTCAAGCTTACAAATCCCTATTGATCGTCGTTTGCCAGCATGGAGCCTTGATACGGAGAAGGATGGGATGAGGCGGCCGTCATCTTTGACCTTGCAAATCACGACCAGACCTTTCGAAACATATAGAAGGTTTTGCAGACAGGTCATACCATCGGGTTGATGGTATAAAAAGCTGTGCCCCTTCACGAAGCTGGCGCGCCTCGCAGGTCGCCTTGGCGTTTTTACCACGGCGGGGTTGAGGGACGCTAGAGGCTCAGCCCTTGCTTCAATCCCGCGAGCTTTCTCCATAACCTGCTGAGCAGATTATTCAGTGACTGCGCGGATTGAGGGAATCATATCTTATGTATTCCGTTGATGTTCTCGAACAAGGTGCGAGATCAGCTATCGCTTTGAGTACAGACTTTGAGTTCTTCCAGTGGGAGGAATCTGGCGTTCCAGAAGGGTGGCGAGAGAAGAACTGCTACGGTCCGTCGAAAGGAACGTGATATGGCATCCACAATGCATGCTGACGAACTGCGTAGGTATGAAGATCATTACAACTGTATCGTGTAAGCCGCATAGCTCTTGCACAAGGCGACAAGCCCCCGATGACCTTCAACAGATTTGCCGCTTCGGGGGCATTCTTATCATCTGATACCTTTCGGCAAAATCTATCCACTCGATATATGATCCCAGATCATTTCTGGACCGATGCTTGCCAGCATTCCAATGGGTTCTTCGGCTGTGAAGATACATACGATGAAGGACGGAAGCTCAAAGTCCACAGTATTGATCTAGCCATCGTCCAATCCACACAGGCTCTTGCTTACAGCAGACCATAGCCACATGGTTCCGATTTTTGGTAAAGCAGGTCGCGGCCAGTGGAGGCGTCAATCAGCACGATTATGAATGGTACGAAATGGGGTTCTTTACGAGGTGGACATCACCAGGTGGACAGATTATATTTTGCTTCGACGTCCCTCAGACACTATATGACCGTCTCCAAACCCACTTTCTATCGCCCTCGACGATGCCCAAGTTATCGGATGTTTATTCACTACACTTAGTGATTATTGATGAGATGATCAAGCTCTTTGATAAATCTGTTTGGTCCCTTCGAGATATTGTCAGAGTGACTGAGTTGGTAATGCTGCCCAACTACCCGACTGGAAAGAGAAAAGCGATTAACAATCACTTCCAGAACCGACTGGGCGCTACGCAGCAGGGGCCTAACTTCCCATTGCTTCATGACTTTGCACGGCACACGGTCCACTCCTCCGAAACTCTTGACGTTGCGATAGATACTATGGCCGGCATCCTTGGCCAACATGAATGGTTCTCGGACGCGGGACGGTCGTACATTGACACCGACTGGATTGTCTCGCGACGCACCAGGCAACATCTCCGCTTTCAAATCCAGATGATGCGAAGCTTGAGGGCTCGGTCCAAAGCCAATGAAGCAAGATTGCGTAATGAAATAGACTTGGTACGTCGGAGAGGAGGAGATCCTGCCGGTCAACACTGACTTGAATTAGGCTTTTAACACAATTGCGCAACATGATAGCAAGATCATGGTCAGGATCAGTGAAGCCGTACAAAGTGACAGTGCCGCAATGAAGACGATAGCGGTCCTGACCTTGACATTTCTGCCGGCAACCTTTGTCTCTGTAGGGAGATTCCAGTCGTGCGTCAGGTCCTCGAGCAGCTGACGAGAATGCAGGCACTCTTCAGTATGACATTCTTCAACTTTTCGCCCGGGAGCGAAGCTCATCCCGAGGCTTGGGTGGTTTCCGAGAAGATCTGGATATATTGGGCGATCTCACTTCCATTGACGATCATTACGATATTGTCTTGGCTCACATGGCAGAGAAGATTCAGTAGAACGTGACTGGCTTTTGTAGATTCTCTGCCCACGGCGAATAAGAGTGCTCGTGTTGGGTCGTACGGTTGTAGCATACTGAAATTGTAATTTGAGTGACGCCAATTTTCCACTTGTAACCGCCATCGGAGACATATCAATGCTAGTTGGGTATTAGCGGGGCTAACCGGTGGGCCGTGCCGCCAAACAAGGCAGAAACGCGCAACATCAGCCTTGCGGGCGGTGAGATCCCAAAAGGCTGTTTTCATAAAGGATGTTACAACAGCATTCACCTGTAATAGTAACATGAATTTCTCTCTACCATTCAATTATCAGCGTCGAGGCTCCATCAGAGTAAAGTCTCAGAAAGCTTCCGAGATTTACCACCAGCTACCCAAAGCGACTACCTCAGAAATTAACCAGGTAGTAAAACGGTCCCACGCGCTCATATGATACGCCGTGAAAGAGTGAAAGAGATGAAGCATGAAGATTACACCGTGGGATGGATATGTGCGTTGCCGACGGAGCTGGCTGCAGCGGTGGCCATGTTGGACGAACGCCATGATCCTCTCCCCCAGGACTCCCATGACACCAACAACTACGCGCTGGGACGGGTTGAGGAGCAGAACGTGGCTATTGCGTGTTTACCGTCCGGAGTGACGGGCAATACTTCTGCTGCCATCGTGGCGAGTCACATCCGCTCTACCTTTCCATCAATCATATTTGGTCTGATGGTTGGTGTTGGCGGTGGAGCTCCGAGCGTGGAGAACGATATTCGACTGGGTGATGTGGTGATCAGCAAACCCGCCGAGACGTCTGGTGGAGTGATCCAGTATGACTTTGGGAAAACCGTTCAAGAAGGACGATTCGTGCGGACAGGGTCGCTGAATCGACCGCCTGATGTGCTGCTCAACGCTGTGAGCAGTTTACAGGCCAGATATATGATGGAGGAGGCGGAGCTTCCAAGACATCTGTCACAAATGCTGTCAAAATATCCAAAGCTGCAAAAGACTAGTGCATATCAGGGCGCACAGCAGGATCACTTATTTGAGGCAGACTATGATCATCGAGCCGGCCAAGCGACGTGCGCTAATTGTGAAACTGATCGGCTGATCACTCGATCTGACCGTGAAGACGAAATTCCCACAATTCACTATGGGTTGATCGCGTCAGGGAATCAAGTGATGAGGGACGGAGCAACGCGAGAAAGACTACGCAAAGAGCTCAACGTACTATGCTTTGAGATGGAGGCGGCTGGTCTCATGGACAACTTTCCCTGTCTAGTAATCCGAGGGATATGCGATTATGCCGATACACACAAAAACAAGCGCTGGCAGCCTTATGCGGCGGCGGTGGCGGCGGCGTATGCTAAGGAGCTCCTCTGCTGCATCCCAGGAAAACCGGTTAGTCATACGCAGGTGGCGACTGCGATAGCTACGAAAATGGGTGAGTAGACTCCGCTGATGTTTACTGCGTGGGCGCATGGGAGGAGTAGGCTAGGACGTGAAGATCACTTCCTTACTGTAAGAGAACGAGAGGTTGGTAAGGATATTGAACTCCTTTTCGTCATAGTCAATGAATAAATGCCAGATTCTAGATTATGTATAGCTGATCTTCCCATGATTGCATTAGTTGAGCCTCTCTTCTCCGTGCCGTTCCAGAGAGATTACAACTTCATTGACCGAAAAGACATATTCTCCCAAATTGAGGAGCAGCTTCAAATGCACCATTGCGTTTCGTTATGTGGAATGGGAGGAATTGGGTATAGATTCTTCCCTTTGAACAAACTCTTGCAGACACTGACCGAAGGTGCCAGAAAATCCCAGATCGCCATTGAGTACGCTTACAGGTTTCGGCAATCCCACCCGCAGAGTCATGTCTTCTGGGTGTACGCAACCAGCTCTGCCACATTTGTGCATGCCTATTACCACATTGCACGTAGATTACAGCTTCCTGCATGCGACGATCCCAATACTGATGTATGTGAACTGGTCTTCGAGTGGCTGAATGAGGAGGACAGTCATTGGCTCATGATTGTGGACAATGCTGACAATGCGGATCTCCTTTTCTCTTCGGCCGAATCGGATATACCACTTGCTACTGTTACACAAACTCAGAAACCTCTAATCGAATACCTTCCAGCTATCTTACATTCTCAGAAGTCATTACTCGTTACAACGAGAAGTAGACCCGTAGGCCAGGATCTAGCCGACGGAGAATCGTGTGTGGAGGTGCCGCCACTTTCAAGTCAAGAAGCGAAAGCATTGTTGCGATTGAAACTGAAGGGATCTGCGAGCTCTTTCGACGTGTCTAGTACAGAAAGGCTGCTGGATATCCTGGGATCTATTCCGCTAGCCATCACGCAGGCTGCTGCTTTTATCAACCGTAATCGAATGACCATACAAAGCTATCTCGCAGCCCTTGAAAAAGACAAGCAGAACCTGGCGGATTATCTAAGTCAGGAGCTTCAAGATCCTCGGAGACCGCGTGGTTTTCCTAATTCGGTCTTCCGAACATGGAAATTGTCCTTTGATCAGATTCTAGCGCAAGAGCCTCAAACCGCGAAGCTGCTCTCATTGATGGCGATGCTTGATTCACAGCGGATTCCAGAGAAGCTGTTACGGTGGCCAGCTGAGAGAGATGTGGACTTCAGGATGGCTATCGGCACGCTTGACGGTTTCGCTTTGATCAGTCAAGAGATTGGAGGAGAGACATACACGATTCACCCACTCGTGCAAGCATCAGTGCACTACTGGCTAGAGCAGAGAAGTGAGAAAGCGGATTACGCCGGACAGGCTTTGCAACTTCTGGCGGAGAAGTTTCCGAACGGTGAGCATGAGCATAAAGAGACGTGTGAATCGATGTTGGCGCATGCTCAAGCAGTATTATGGCATAAATGCATATCAGAAGATGACATGAGACACCGTGCAGCTCTTCTATATAACGTCGGATGGTTTAATTGGCGACAAGGGAGATATGACTCTGCATATGAAGCAGTCTCGGAATCATATAACACCTATCAAGAACGAGCAGGGGATGTCGCTACTACCACATTAAGTAGCTTGAGTTTACTTGCATTGGTGCTTCAGGATCAGGGGAAGTATGAGGCGGCCGAGGAGATGAACCGACGAGCGCTGGAAGGGAGAGAGAAGGTGCTGGGAGTCGAGCATCCCGACACATTGACCAGCGTCGATAATCTGGCATTGGTGCTTCAGGATCAGGGGAAGTATGAGGCGGCCGAGGAGATGAACCGACGAGCGCTGGAAGGGAGAGAGAAGGTGCTGGGAGTCGAGCATCCCGACACATTGACCAGCGTCAGTAATCTGGCATCGGTGCTTCGGGGTCAGGGGAAGTATGAGGCGGCCGAGGAGATGAACCGACGAGCGCTGGAAGGGTATGAGAAGGTGCTGGGAGTCGAGCATCCCGACACATTGACCGGCGTTTACAACCTTGCCTACCTGTTTCACGGTCAACAACGGTAGAATGATGGGTCCATTCTCTATCTCAGAGCTTCAACAGGGTTTCCGAAGACGTTGGGCCCGGACCATCCTACGACACAGAACTGCTCCTATCACTATTCGTCTATGATTCGTGAAATGCAAGGCCAGGGTAGAGACGTCTGATACTCTAGGCCAGAGTCTGATTTCCGATTCTGTCAGGGGATTGATTAGGTCTCGAATATAATTAACACTACCAGCGCATAATTGACGTCGTATATTTTTCTAATTATTCATCTCTGTATGTAGTCGAACAAGTCATTCTTTCGACCGGTACATTGCCTCCTTTTCCCTGTAAAATTGATTTTCCATCACTAATTCATATCTTCAAGCCTTTATTTTCTGGGTCAAACGCATGCCCACTTCCTTTCCCATCTTTCTGCTTCTGCCCCATCCTACTTCTACCTATCCTACTTCTGCCCATCCTACTCAACATCGCTACCCTATAGCATTATTCGTACTGCTAAATGTATGCGATGCGCCATGAGATCCCTTAACATTCATATGCCTTCCGAAGTCTCGACTGAACCAGACCTCTCATTCGGTAACCTTTGAGTTATGTGGAACTTCATGAATGGTGTAATCAAAGTCTTTGAATAGCAGATTGACAGGCAACGAGTACCAGGCTTCCTAAGCTCGAATTAGCTCAAAGATCGATATATCGGATTCATATATACGATCTCTCTCATGCTGGGAGGTCACCGTTCGTGATCAGTCAATCGATAAGTATAATACCTTCCATTTCTGCGGATGATCAATGCAACGTCTGCGTGACATACCCCTGATTGCATAATCCTTGAGGGAAAAAATAAATTTCCCCCAATTCTGGCACACCCCAAAATCAAAAATCAAAATCTTTAATTATTCTTATATAGGTTTACCACCACAGTTTATTATAATCTAGAAAATTATTAAGATTTAGTAAACATAGTATAGATTAGACTATGAAAATTTTAAAAGATTTAAATATTTCGTTATATTGTAAAATAGAATCATAGCGAATTTTATGAATTACTCTTGACTACTTTAGAATAGCCGAGGTAATTTTTTTAAATCTTGGCATTTATTCAATAGTCGAGATAATTTTTCAGCGCAATGTCAAATTAACACTTTATCCATATTATATAAATTAAATTCTTTAAATATTTTAGTAATAAATACTTTGATATATAAAGTATATATTTTATAATTAATCGTGGTTGTAAATCTATATAAGAATCATTAAGATTTTGATTTTTGATTTTGGAGTGTGCCAGAATTGGGGGAATTTTTTTCTTTCTTAAGGATTATACAGTCAGGGGTATGTCACGCAGACGTTGCATTGATCATCCGCAGAAATAAAAGATATTATACTTATCGATCAACTGATCACGAACAGTGGCCTCCCAGCATGACAGAGATCGTACGTATAAATCCGATGTATCGACCTTTGAGCTAACTCGAGCTCAGAAGCCTCGTACCCGTTGCCTGTCAATCTACTGTCCAGAGACTTTGATTACACTGAGGGGACAGAGGGACCAGATGTAGGGATTATTATTGGTCACATCACTGCTTCTAACCGATTTCATCTTGCTTATTAAGATTTTTCTTTGGTAAACGGTGATTGGACAAATGATAATCCCTACATCTGGCCCGAGCGTGGTCCACCCGACTAAGGGGATAGCTCAAACGTGGAGGAACGGTCAAACGAGAGGCCTGGTTCAGTCGAGACTTCGGATGGCACATGAGTTTGAGGGATCTGATGTTGCACCGCATGTATTTGGCAGTATGGGTAATGCTATACGGTAGCGACGTTGAGGAAGCCGAGATAATAATGCCAATACCTGCTCTCTTGACAGGGGCATCCTCGGAGTAGGCTGGTCGTCAGGAATTCTTTTTGACCGGCCAGTTGCGCTCAATAATATGTTGAAGGTCCTGTTGCACTTTGATGTGTCTTTGCTGTGGTTGAGTCGGGGAAGAAGTAGTAAAGGGCAGAAGCAGAAAGATGGGGAAAAGAAGTGGGCATGCATTTGAGCCCGAGAAAAAAGAGGCTCCTATTTTCTATTTTGGTTGCTTTTAAACCTCAGCCAACGCTAGTGTATAATACCGGAGGCGAGGCAGCCACATACCATGATTAGTAAGGGATCCACATACTAATTCCGGACGCGCCTGCCTCCTTCCTGCCTCGTTCTCCATACCTCGCTGTCGCCATTGATTCCGCCCTACTCACCACTCATACTTCGTGATAGCTAGCAAATCGCGTTATCTCTTCATTATGACGTCTCAAGATCTCGTCGTTCGCCAGCCTCCTCAGTATGGCGGCTTCGAGGATACTCAGGAAGAGCTGGATTGGTATGGTAGTAACCCCGAGGGCATCGATCGTGACCGTACCCCGGAGGCTATGTATCCAGACGAGGTTATAGACGTCGTCGCTAGGGAGGAGGAGGAGGAGGAGGAGGAGGGATTGAACCAGGACACTAGATGATAGTGTGACGTGACACTCTATCTCCCTGCTTGTTGAAGACCAAAATCGCCTTGAAGTGACCACATCCTTAAGTATGGATCTCAGCCCTCTTCCGTGAAAGATCCCTTCCTTGCGTCTTGGATATTCCACGCGGTTTCCCCCAGCTCCTGTCTGGTTTGGTGCCTGCAACGCGACCTTTAGATTTGGACCGTGGGAACGGAGCTGTTTGCAAGATCACGACTGAGCTCAACGCCGCACTAGAAGTTGATGTGCTCATCCTCTCTTTCTGTTTCGATATCCGATCGCTTCTGCGCAGCATGACCTCGGTAGGTTGGGGTTGTGCATTTCTCCCCAGATCGGCAGCTAAATCCGCTTCCAATGCACCGGACCTCTTTTGGTTGGTAGATAACCGGCGGCTTCTGCGCGGAGCAACATTGGCAGGCGGGGATGGTGATATCGTTATGTTAAGGCCTTGGTTTTGACCATCGTCACGCTCTGCAGGGATCTTTGACGGTCGTCGGGGGCCGGGTGTCTTCCTTCCAGCGGCTTTTGATACTTTTGATGAATGGATTGGACCAAGCGCAGAATTTGCTGAAGGACGATTTTTCTTGTTGTCGTGATTATTTCGCAGGGCCGATTTATCAGATCGGTTAGATCTAAGATCCTTGAGCGTGGTTTGACCTGACTTCGATGCTCTTTTCGGTGGCATGGCTTGATCCTCGAGAGGGTTTGATGTAGATACTTCCGTCGTCGAGACGGCGCATTCGGCGAGACAGGCTGAAAGCTGTTGTTCTGCCCATTTCAACCGCATCTCTGGAGGCCCGACTTGCTTTCGCGCTTCTTCGGCGTAAGATCGCGCGTCCTCAGCCTCGGAATGGTATCGTTCGGCTGTATCTGACCACCCTTGTAGTGCGCAATGATTCTCTGTATCCTGGAATTCTACCACCTGCCGCCGCCAGAATTCCACCCACTGCTTAGCATTATCGACCTCCAGATGTAGGTAGGCCCGATAGTCTTTCCAGAGATCCACTTGGGTCGGGCTCTCTGCAGATTGTCATTCTTCCAGCTGCACCTCTGTTTTCCCATCCGTTTCTTTCTTCTGCCGATAGTCCAAAAATTTCTTCCATTCCCTCAATTCTTCCTCGAACTGGCTACATTCACCCTCCCAGTGGCAAAGGGCGTGAAGATCTTCATCCGTGTGTTCGGCATCATAGACGTCAGGCACCGGCCGGATCGGACGGCTTGGCCTCCCACCCGTATCCATCAGGGTGTTGTAGACTTGTTTCGCTCCCAGCTCGCTCTTCTCCTCCATCTGACGACGAGATGTCGGTAATTCCATCAATGACGCAGCGCATTCCGAAAGAACCGCTGGAAGCTGCTTCTTGACCCATTCCAACCGTTTCTCCTCCGCTGGGAGCTTTTCCCGCTGTCTTTCTATTGTTCTCAGCCATTCCCTTTTGTCGTCTCTCCCACGCTTGTTCACATACACTTCAGGATCTTTCCGCTGTACTGCTTCCACCGCTCGTCGGGCCCCTTCCATTCCCCTCTTCAACCGGTCGATCCACCTTTGAAAATAGCCTTGATATTCCTTCCAGTCCTTCAACTTCTTCAGGCTTGCTGTGAGCTCTGGATCTTGCGGGTACCGCTGCCGTTCCATGTCCTCCTCTCTTGCAAATTCCGGATGATGCTCACGTCTCCGTTGCTGAGTATCGAGAAAATCCTGCCACCGTCGTAGTTCTTCATTGCATCGACCTCTTTCTTGTCTCCAGTGCCCCCGAATAAAATCGGCCTCCGTCAAAGAATTATTGGGACCTGGTTTATAGCCATACCAGCTGTCGTAAAAAAGCTCCTCGTATTGTTCAGCATATCGGTACCAAATTTCTCCACCGACAGGGACTTTCGTCCAGGGCGGTGTTGATCGGATCGGACGAGTCGGTCTCCCACCCATCTGTATCAGGGTATCGTACGCTTGCTTGGCTTCGAGTTTAAACCGCTCCAACATTTCCACAGGGTCTTCGATTGGAGTTTGGCTCAAGCTACGGGAGCAATCAGGGGGAGGGGTTGGAGGTTCGCTCAATCTAGGGGGGCAGTTTCTGAATTTTCTCGAAGCGTCAGTATCATCGGCAATGTTGAGAGGACTGATCGAGACTAGGAGTTTGAAGTCTTCTCACCGAAGTTTCGCTTCAAGGTCTTCTGGATCCACAGGCTGGGTGTGGTGCACATTACGGGTCATGTCTCTGGGAGTAGAACGGAGTGTTAGTTGCACGATCTCAGATTTGAAAGATCCAGGTCTCCCAAATCACACTTCTTACCTGAATTTTTCCCACATCTCTGTAGTTACGTTCCGCCTATCCTCTATTTCAAAGAACCTAAGAAGAAAAAGAATATCAGTACCACTATCCAGTGGTGAGAAAACCCATCTTTCTCACCCGATTTTCGCGATCGCCGCAACGACTTCCGGCTTGCACAGATCTTTTGCCAGAACCTTCATGGTGGATGAGGAAGAGGACGCTGTCGTACTCAGAGATGTGAAAATGAGAATCGATGGAGCGGTGGAGCGGTGGAGCAGTGGAGTAGTGGAGCAATGGAAAATAAAGCTGCTGACAAAGCGATCGGCGCTCGGGTAACATATCAGCCAATCGTCTTCCGCACTAAAGAGCGATCCCGAAAAAGCGACGGCGACGTGTATGCTGCCAAAAAGTTTCACCACGGTAATTGGAAGAAAGAGGTTGACATCTTGACGGAGCTTTCACACGTGAGTGTGATTATTGACCTAACGATCGATCTCTGTCTGACTTTTCACTAAGGAGCATATTGTGAAATTCGTAGCAACCTCTGCTGGTGATGGAATATCTGCGGAAACTTAGCCTGTCAAGATTTCATCACCGAAGAAGAGACCCTCCAAATTCTTTTTCAAGGACTTCAGGCTCTCGACTACCTACATTCCCACTCTCCGCCTCTGGCGCATCGAGACATCAAGCCGGCAAACATTCTCGTTCAGTCTCGAATGCCCTTCGTTATCAAGCTCGTCGACTTCGGATTGGCAAAGAACGATTCCTCCTTAAAAACCTTCTGCGGATCAAATGAATACGCCGCTCCCGAGATTTGGGGACGTCATCATTACACAGCTACGGTTGACATATGGTCACTAGGAGTGGTCGTGTTAGAATACGCATACGGTCTTCCTCAGCCAACGCGAGAGCGCAAGGGCAAGCCTTGGTGTCGAGATATTGTCCAAAAAGCCGAGGAAGGGGAAGGAGAAGGGGACACTTTGATAGATCTAATCTCAACCAAGATGCTGAGGATAGATTATCGACACCGAGGATCTGCAAGTGATTGCTTGGGGGAAGTGTATCGTCTAGGATTTCACGAAATCCAAACTGTCGACATTGGACGTACAACACCCACAGGGAAGACGACTGGTCGAGACGGCGTCGCAAGGAGCAAGTCTGTCATAGCGCAAACTCCATCGGACAGGGATGTTTCATCAGGATTTTACGACATAGGAGGGACATCTGAATCGACTAAAATTGCTCCCTCGAAGCGTGATCTTCGAGACGGAATTCATTTTTATAATGGTGCATCTCAACGATCCCTTCAACAAGCTCAAAGATTTACACAGATTTGGAATCCTCGAACTATAGACAATCTCACGTCAACGTTAAATAAGCGGCAGCGGCCACAGATGACCCAATCTTCCACGGCCGACACTTCGGGAAGAGGACGATCGAAACGGTCACGAGCTTTAGTCTCGTGCGAAGCAGTTGAAGATCCTTCGAAGCCGTCAAAGCGTAAGGGACACAACCCTGCAGCACAGCCTCGTCAGATACCGCAGCTGGACCCCAGCAAGGGACCATTGGCGACAGACGTTGCAAGCCTCACTCAAGCTGTGGAGCCTATCCCGAAAGTGCCCCGTATTACGAGACAAGTCACGCGAAAATCCACACAAAAACCGACGAGGTCTCCTTTGAGAAGGGCGTTTGCCTCAGCAGCGGAAGTGAGTCCAGGGGAGGTCGAGACGCCTTCGTCAAAGCGCAACATTCACGACAATGTGAGAGCATTGCTGGCAGGGAACCTGGACGGAGGAACCCTGGACGTCGAGAACGAGGGTAAAACCAAAGTACATCATCCTCAATGAGACGTGTCACGCATGCTGACCGGTCTTTGTCAAGGTAACGGACTTTGACGGCAGACATGTTTAGATAAAGATTGAAGACAAAATTGTGCTTATGCGAAAAGAAGACTGCCTTCTCAACGCAAGTCAGATACTGACATTGACTAACAAGAATCCCAGGGACATTGAACATCTCCTGCAGCTGATGGAACAAAGTATCAAGGTCGAGGTCCTTCCACCTATAGCAGGTGTCGCTTCTTCATGCTCTTGGGTTAGCTTCGAACACGGACAAATACTCTGCAAGCATTTCGGACTGGAGCAGAAGCTGCAGCCATTAGTAGATTATAGGCTGGAAATCCAGCGAAATGACTACAGCGAGCCTATGGAGTATATCAACAGCGTTCCCAAGCAGGTATGATATCACCCTTGGTTTGTATAAGGGTCTATTCACAATTACTTCGCCTAGCAGCTTTCTGGATTCTTCGTAACTAATACACTTACTCAACCTGTCCTGGTGCGAAAGTCCGACTTTCGAATCAGAGTTAGTGATATTTTACAAGCATCCGGTCAGCCACACACTGAAATATTCGAGATCAGGCGAGAGTTCAGATACAAAGGTTTATATGTGGATTTCTGGGTTGGGGTAGAGTTGTGTCGGAGGTACGGTCTGCGCGAGTTGGAGAGGGACTTGCGTAGCTGGAAGCCAGAAAAAGAGCCAGCAAAAGAGCCAGCAAAGAAGCCGGCAAAAGAACCAGCAAAAGAACCAGCAAAAGAACCAGAGCTTTCAGGATTCATTGAAATCGCAGATTTTCCTAGCCCTGTTATGGTTCGAAGGTCAGACTTTAGAATCAACGCCTCCCACATTGCCAAACTTAGTGGCCGTTCAAGACGTACGGTAAGAGATCTCAGAAAGTGGTTGGGTTCTGAGAAGTACACGATCGTGCGGGGAAGTAAGAAGCATCAAGGCACGTATGTGGATTTCGATATTGGAATAGAGCAGTGTCGAGAATACGGACTACCTGAGCTGGAGAAGCGATTCCATAGCTTGAGGCGTACTTCGGAAGGGCCGGTATCAGAAGTAGAGCCCAGTCATGTCGAACCCCGGCTCCCGGTATCGGACGCAGTCTCGGCGCGGAATGAGAGCTTTGAGTCTAGGGGTATCTGGAACCGAGATCCACCCCCAACATTACCAGGAGGGTCCATTCCCGATGGGCCAATCGAAGTGGAGGATGCAGATGAGACGGATTCAGGCTCAGACGTAGCAGGCTCAGGGGATAGTGTCACATCTCGCGAACCCTGTCCGATACAACGAAACGCTCAACCGGCACCATCAATCCGTTGTGCAAAGGACATGACATCGTCGCGCCCATTAGGACGTGACACCAGGTCTTCTCTTCTTGAACTTGCAGACCCTCATTCACCTTCCGCCAAAAGTGTACAATACGAGGTTTGGGATTCTCGGCCTCAGCTCTCGGAATTGACAGAAGTAGAACCTCAGTTGAGGCCATCCAGTTGGAAAACGGCCTCGCACTATGGCAGCTTGGGTGATCTATTCGCACCAACATGATTGGAGGTTAGTGATAGGGTTCGGCCCAGGCTGATCTTGGTGCCAAACGTCGCATCACGGACCAACAATGTGCACCGCTGAGCCTCTTTGTGACAAGCCCTGCGAGAAGACGTAGGTATTCCTGGAGATAGCTAGAAAGAGAACATTAGCGGATTCGTGGAATGGAACTAGGGACTAGGAGCGGTAGTTGGACGAGCAGAGCCAGAAGGGGAGAGCAGGAAGAGGATGTTACTGTTCTGAAGATGGTGTGGTATGCAGCAATCAGCTCCGACTGACCACATCATCTAGTTCATGACGCCCACCGCCGCAGCGACCGCCTTCACCGATAAGCTGCTTCAGCTCATCCGCCAACAGCGCCATCTCGCAACCCGCGTCGTTATCTCAACCCAAGAGCCCACCATCTCACCACGCCTCCTAGACCTGTGCACGGTAACGATCGTGCACCGCTTCACATCCCCGGAATGGTTTCGCACCCTCCGCGACCACCTCGCTGGCGTCAGCACGCTCGACGAACTGGGAGTGGCGACGAATCGCGATGTTCGGAGCATATTCGTGGGGATTGTGGAGCTGGAGCCGGGGGAGGCATTAATATTTAGTCCGTCGGCCATGCTAGAGCCGGTGGAGGGCAAGGCGCCAAGGAAATTGGGCATGGAGTGGCTGAAGGTCAGAGTCAGGAGGAGGCTGACGGAGGATGGAGGGAAGAGTATCTTGGCCACTTAGCGTGGGTTATGAACGCTAGAGTCGCGTTGGAGAACCAGGGAAGGTCCGGCTTATCGTTCTCCGTTGGTTGGCCACGGCGCGGACGGCATCGGACACCCTTGGGTCTCGAGCAAACGAGGGGAATGAAGGGTCTTCGGGCTGGATGAGAGTGAGCGATAATGCGAGGTGAAGTCGATAGCGGAACAGCTGAGCTGAGTCGAGCCTGCTGCTGAATGCAATTGGATGCAGTCGTCCGAGAAATCCATCTAACTCTCCACATGACCAACGTTCGTTTCTTTGAATAAGCAACGTAAGACCGAAATAACAGATTCCTTATTCTCGAACCTTCTTGCTGCGCCTCATCCTTCTGCAGTAACATCCACTTCCTGCTCCCCCTTCTGGCTCTACTCGTCGAACTACTGCTCCTAATCCCTAGTTCCATTCCGTGAATCCGTTAATGTTCTCTTTCTAGCTATCTCCAGGAATACCTACGTCTTCTCGCAGGGCTTGTCACAAGGAGGCTCAGCGGTGCACATGGGGAATAAGTCGAGGAGCAGTCTGCGGAATGAAGTGCCTCGCGCTCTCAGACCATCGACGGTGCCTTCTAGAAACCGATGCTCGTGGTCCTGGTAGAAGCGCTAGTTTCGCTAGTCTTTTCGTCGTCATCCCCCACGACGAGAGGGTCATCTTGAATACGTCAGACGAAATCCCGGATGCTGGTCAGAAATGCACTGGGGGGGCACACCTTGACTGTTACCAGCTTCACTGGATCGACTTAAGCTTGTTAGTCTCTTGTGTTGCTGGATTTTTCGCGAAAAGGTGGGCCGTCTGAAGACAGGCTTAGGTTGCGATTGGATCCGTGCGAAATCGAGGTCGCTTAAGTTATCATCGATATTATCTATCTTGTCGATCACGATCGCGTGTTTTTAGAGTCATTAAACGCACCCGCGGGGACAGGTACCTGCGTACTGACCTTCACGCCGGGCCTTCTCTAACCTGTATACACCTTCTCCACTCTCGTTTAAACCTGCATTGTCTGCTGTGCGCTTGGAGGAACCTCGAATGTCGGTGGCGTCCATAGCTATCACAGGCTCATTGTCCGTAAGGCTCGTTGGGCTCCACATCCATGGCAATCTAGCCGGATCTGCCGCTGACCCTATGGTGTCTTCTCGGTGCGGAGACCGCCACGAAATCAGTGGTGTTTCAGGATTTGGCGACGCACTAGGCAATGGGAGAGAGTATTGGATGATGTTGTCTGTATTGCCGCTCGTTCCTCTGTCTTCTTTCTCTTTCCCCCCACAGGAATGACGAGGCTCGATATTTTTGAAGCTGATTTCTGTACCGTACATCGACGAGAGGAGGGGATTAGAGAGTGGAGGAGGAGGAGGATCAGAGATGGGATCTTCTGTCCTAGATAGGCGCTATCTGTCAGTACTAAGATCTGCTAGCGGGGGATTTAAGGATCGTACCCAGCTTCTGAGCCTGCTTCAGAAGGCCGTGGAGTGTTGAGGGAGCAGTGCCCTTCGCCTTGCTCAGAAGTCGAGCCATCGCTTCTAGAGTGGACGCTGCTGCTGCTGTCGGTATTCGCACCTTTGTCTTCATCTAGTCTCAAGCCCGATTGTTGCAACTCTTGTGCACGCTTGTAGGATAAGAAATCAAGAGGATCCTTCGATGACGAGCCAGTCGATTCAAGGACTTCGATCAGATCGTAGTCGTTAAGTGGTTCACCCCATCCGCCGTTGGATCTAGGAACCGTAGGAGTATATCCCTCTCCGTAGACGAGGGGAACATCACCAACCGACGCCACCGATGGTCTTTTGTCAGCCAAATCGGCTTTGGCGGGGGGTTGGTAGAATTGGATGGAATCCAAGTTGATCGATGTCATTGTGTCTCAAATGCAGATAAAGGAGCTGTGTGTGGAGAGTCTGAAGTTGGAAATCCAAGACACCCAGAATGGGGCAAAATGAGGATTATATGCGCTTCTGAGTCGTGCCCACAGCGGCGGTGCCGTGCCTGCACTCTCTCCAACCAATGAACCGCTGAAGACGTCACCTCAGTACCGTCTCCCCCATTCTCGCACCTGCTGCCTGCTCCTCTCCAACAGCCTCAATCGCCGATCTCTGGCCATCACCGCTTGGTCTCCATTCATCTGCCTCACACCCTGCGGCACGCGCTGGCGCAGTCTCTCGACCCTTGTTGCTTCGCATTCAATCCACATCCCATACCGGCCAAGTCTTCACTGCGCCCCTCGGAGATATCCAACTATCGAGCCACGTCAGCTGCAGCTGCCTAGGCCTTACGCGCTGGGACTTCTGCAACAGATCAGAGGCACTACATCCTCTCCGATCCACAGCGAAAAGCGAGATCACCGTCTCAAAGCCATGTCACCAGAATGAGGTAAATGCGGGAACCTGGTCAGCGCAGTCAGACAGATACGGAAAGAGCACTGTCGATCAAGGCGAATAGATTCCATTCCTTGATTTTGGCTCACCGCCGCTGCTCGGCTTTATGCTCAGCCCCCCTGATGCTATGGCACCGAATCACGGCCGAGGGGCGATCCCTGTCCATGCAGCAAGGTAGACGTGTGAGGGGCATTTCTTTCATTGGCCGTGTGGCAGCTGTCTTCGGGTCAGGCAGTTGCTTCGCCCTGGAATGCTCGCCGCAAGCTGAAATTTCCCACCAATGTCGTCGCAGAGTCGCAGATCAGCTGAGCGGTGGTGAAACAGTGGCTGGCACAGGAAGGCCGAGGCAGAAAGGTCCAGACCGGCAGATCCGAGCGATGAGGCGCTCCAGCATGGTCGAAAAAGGAATCATCTCCGTGCGTTGAGAGCGGAGCTGAGCTGCAGCGCGGGCGACAAGATACGAGGTAGCGAATGAGAGGGTTCGCCTTTATCGCTAGCTCCAGCCGTAGGCGAAAGTGGGCAGGTCAGGAGCTGGCGAGGGTGAGAGGTGCAGCAAAGTAATCCCGAAGGGAAAGGTCATCAGTAAAATGCCTCATGCAAAGGTCAAAGCATAACGATCGGCGATGGTCGGCAGAAGCCAGCTAGGCAGCCAGGGGGTCAACGCAGACCCTTGCAATGCGAGAAGGAGTGAGGGACGGCAGGGAGATATGGAAGAAAGATGAAGGGAAAAGTGGGAAAACAGCGAGGGGTGCAGGTCTTTATACCTCGAGAAAGCGGCGGGTGGGGCGATGCCAGGCGCCTTGCCCGAAGAGGCCACGCCAAACCCGACGGGGCCGCGCTTGGCCTGGAAGCAGGAAAGAGCGCGCATTTCACCAGGACGCAGATTATTAAATAATTATTATTAAATAATTACTATTAAATAATTACTATTATTAAAAAATTATTATTATTAAAAGATTACTATTAATAAAAAATAATTATTATTAAAAGATAATATATTATTAAAAGATTACTATTAATAAAAGATTATTATTATTAAAAGATTATTAATATTAAAAAAAATAATTATTAATAAAAAGATTACTATTATTAAAAGAGTATTACTATTAAAAGATTATAATAAAAAATAAAAGATTAATATAAAAATTACTATTAATAAAAGATTATTATTATTAAAAGATTATTATTAATTAAAGATTACTATTATTAAAAGATTACTATTATTAAAAGATTACTATTATTAAAAGATTATTACTATTAAAAGATTACTATTATTAAAGAATTACTATTATTAAAAGATTACTATTATTATTAAATTTATATTATTATTATTATTATTATTATTATTATTATTATTATTATTATTATTATTATTATTATTATTATTATTATTATTATTATTATTATTATTATTATTATTATTATTATTATTATTATTATTATTATTATTATTATTATTATTATTATTATTATTATTATTATTATTATTATTATTATTATTATTATTATTATTATTATTATTATTATTATTATTATTATTATTATTATTATTATTATTATTATTATTATTATTATTATTATTATTATTATTATTATTATTATAGTCTATCTAAGCTATAACGATATATCGTTTTATAAAGATAGTATCGTTATAACTAAATTATCGTTAAGTCTAGATTTATACTAATTACTACTAAAATACGTCTAAATCGATGCCTACTTTTACGCAGAAAATAAGATCATCCCCTTTAGAATCTCCTTAGTGATTATAGCCTCCTTTTTCTGTTGTCGCTATTGCCAATCGAATAACGCATTTTCTAAATCCGGCCACTCGTATATATACTATTTCTTTTAATTAGAGTGAGAAACTTCGCTATTTAATCGTTAAAATTTAGCTAATAAGCTCTTAAAGATCGTAGATTAGTTTAATTAATAATCGTATTTCTCCAAAAACCAGGCCTAAAGCGCCTATATCTTACGCTTATTATTTGATTCAGTCGTATTATATAGATGTAGATCTCGTCGTTTAGCGTTAATAATTACCCGACGTTGTTTTCGAGTAGAATTAGGCGGTGGGGGGAGATAGATACCCTAGGATTACTAGAATCCTATTCCAATAGCGGCGACGATGGCGAGGATATATTGTTTAGGGCTATTAGATATAACGATATTACTAAATTCATTAAGTAAATGCTAACGATATCGTAGTAGACAAGTTATCGTTATTCTACATCAAAAATAATCATTACATGGCTGTGCAATCGTTACAACCAGAATATCGTTATATGGCGAATCGTTATAGCCCAGGTAGACTGTAATATCATTCCTATTTTTCGAGGCTATCTACCTAAGCTCCCTGCCAAGCGATCCCATCTTCCCAAATTCCGAGCGTCGCAATCACATCTACATACTTGGATTCGTACACGCAGTGGGATTCAGACCTGCGTCAGAAGTCGTTTAATCAGCACGGCCGCAGCAGCTTCTGTCCCAACAGCGACGGTTTCACAATTGAAGATAGCAGGCTTAGAAGCTAGCACGCTAGGTACAACATTTACAGCCTTTGCTCGCTGACTTCACCACTAAGTTACTAACAGAGCTTGCAATCTCCGCGATAAATCAGCCAAATTAATTCCGCTTCGTCTTCTCCTCCTTCTTTCTCTTCATTATAGTCATCACCCGCTGATACCATTATCTCATAAATTTCCGATGCACAGACAGAATCAAAAGATGGAAATCTAAAAGATGTCGGACTTTGTTACTTCGGTGGAGGAAAAGAGAAGGCAGAGACGGGTACATTAAAATGGATATAATGGAGATGACGATTAGGGATTGGGACCGGCCACGCGTGCAAAGTGATATACCCAATGAGAATCAAGGCGTTGGTACTGTATGGCCGATTTCACTGTCCATTCACTCACTCTTGCTCGCACGTACTGACATCGTCATCAGACTTCACAATGTGCCACGATGCTTGAAAGGCCAATCCGGTCAAGCCCTCAATCTTCATATCGTGTCCTTTACTAAGTTCCTGCCGACCACTCGCCCATCACCGCGACCTTATAAGTTCTACCGCATAGAAGGACCGCTGGGAGAAGTACATCCCAGGGAGGGGCTACAGGCTCGAGGCATCGGCCTGCTGAAGTCATAGAACAAGAGCGACCGGCTCGAAGACTATGGCATCATTCGAAAGAGCGGAACCTATCCGAGCTTGGCCCTTGCCGCATCGATCGATGGCGAAACACGCAATTTTACGTGAAGATACTTTTACGCGAAATAACAAGGGCAACAACAGCAGAGCCTCGCTGAGAAGAGAGAGAGGATTTGATGGGAGTTGGGGAATATTGCATTCGAATACTTCGTTGGATCTCCTTTGCCATCGCGCCCGATATAGAGCCCCTGTACTGCTCGCAGGAGTCAGAGAGCACGAGCCTGGACAAAATCATTTATCATGTTAGGCTATCTCCCTGACACAACACTACGTCCTTGAAATCCTTTAGGTTACTCAAAAATATACTTTAATGCAAGGCAGCTGGGCCAGTAAAAGCAGACTCTCGTGAAAAAAATCAGAATTCAAAGGTGGATCCCAATCCTATCGATGTTAGACAAGTGCTAATCTTAGTATAGTTCACGCTTCACTTTCTTAACTCTGCTTCTCAGGTTCCACGCGTACATAGGCGATTACGCAGGGCCGGGATTTGTGTATATTATTGAAGGATGACAATTGTGTCAGCTTTTATGGGATGTTCCTCCGGGCAGAAAAGGGCAATGAACTTGAGACTAGAGAGGAGTACACTACAAACGAAACCCATTGAAAAGAGCTTATCCGGATATCTTCTCACCAACGATGTCATTTCCCTCGTCGCATACCTCGTTGATTTAGGCCACTCGCTTCTGAAAGAGAACTTCAAATGCTGATTTCTATGTACGAGTATCGTTCTACCTGATTACTAATTTGGCCATACTACAGCTCCATGACATTGAATATAGCCTCATTTCCTCGCATGTAGGTCCTCGCACGTAGGCTGGAACAGCAGTTCCACCTCGTCCTCTACCGTCTCTTCCTTGCGTAGCCCTTCCACGTCTACCTCTTTCAGCTCTTGGTCTAGCTCCTCAACGCCCACCTCGCCGTCTAGCCGGCTGCTGCAGAAGCCATTCAGCCCTCGGTGTAGCACTAGCAGTCGTCTCTCGTCTGGTCTTATCGCCTTGTGTAGCCCCTAAGAATGGGCCCGTAGCATCTCCTTATGGAGTCACCGCAGCATCGCGAGTCGCATAGAACGCGTCTAAACGAGCGGTTTCCTCCTCTTTAGCTACCTGATTTGCTGTAATTGCCACCTGTCGTTGTCGCTGGGCCTGGGACATGTTCAACTCCAGAGGAATCACGCTGTGTAAAGTCCTCGAAGATTTGCTCAGCCGTTCGTCTCTTCTTGTTTCTGGCTCGAAGGGGTCGGCCTGGAGGCTTCACTACAGCAGGCTCGTTGACATGTAGCTCCTCCACAGCTGGCACGTTCACAGCTGCATTGAGGTTATTTCCGCGTTCATTTTCATCCAACTTGACGATTCGCCAATGGAAGTGAATATCTTCAGCTCAGCCAGCTGAGCCAGCTAAGGCAGCTAAGTTGACTAAGCTGACTAAGCTGAGAATGTTTTAGCTTGTCCTTTTCGCCACAGCTTGACTGGGGGCTAGTGAGGGAGAGGCACAGCACACACTTATGGCAGGATAGCCGAGATTGGCATGTTGGAAGAGCCTTGAATAGGCGGTGTCCCCTTTGTTCCTCTCGTCGCAAGAAGAGGTTTTTTTGGTAGTCTCAGTACTCAGACTCTATTCGGAAGGGTTGGTGGTAGTGGTGGGTCGGAAAAACCTTTTTTCCGGGTGCTTCTAAACCTCAGCCAACGCTAGTGTACAGTACCGGAGAGCCATTAGGCCGACCCAGCCACATTCCCCTGATTAGTAAGAGATTGCAGTAGTAAATAGGGGACACGTTCTGGCTGATCTTACCGTCTTCCCCCATACCTCGCCGTCGCCACCCTCTACCCTCCCACCCCTCCCACACCTCGCTATCGTCAAATCTTCGCGTCAAATTTTCGCGTATACCATTCCCAATAGCTCAATGTCGTACCCCCGCCTCGTGCGCCAGCCCCCACAGTATGGGGGCTTTGAGGATACCCAGGAGGAGCTCGATTGGTATGGTAGCAACCCCGAGGGCATTGATCGAGACCGCACCCCGGAAGCAGAGTACTCGAATTGCCACTTAAGGAAGAAGATAGTGGCTCCAGCGATGGCGAATGGAGCTGGCTCACCTATTCTGACGCGTCCAGGTCATCGTCGCCCCCCTCGAAGCCCTCTACCCACAAACGCAAGGCGTCTACCTCCCTAGACGAACGGAAAGAACACCCCCAAAAGGGTAGCAAGCGTAGCAAGCCCGCCCCAGTGATACCCCCGGAGCTGGCGTCAACAATGCTGAAGCTACCCCCTCATACCCCAGAGACGCGTCAAGCTGCTTTCTCGTTAGGCACACCTATTTGCTGGACAGCTGAAGAATTCGACGCGTACTGGCCTTTGGTAGACAATTTCTAGATATGCAATAAGCCCATGATGGGCATAATATAGCCAGATTAGAGGTGCCTCCGAGGTGGCATCGCATGGAGGATGCGGAGTAGATAGCCCCCCAATGGAACCCCTCCCTCTATGGCGACAGCGAGGTGTCCCTGAACCCCCCATAGTAGACTGCCAGCTCCGCTGCATCCCTCATACAAATTCCGCCCTGAGCGGCAGCAACGCCTGCGGGCCTCGGTGGCTATCTAGAAGCCTTCTCCACGGTCTTCCGAAACCTCCATAGTAGGCCGCCAACTCCGCTACATCCCCCATACAAATTCCGCCCTGACAGATAGCAATACAGGCGGACTGCTGAAAGCCTTCCCCGCCCTATTCCCCGCCCCATTACAAGTAACAGCGAGGTCGCTGACGACGACAACGATGTCTCGGCGACGTCGCGCCTTATTTTGGTGTGGCGCCCATACAAATATGGCGCGCAGAGCTTTGATAGAGCGAGGACACCAATAAATCCTTCCACTTAGCCGAATACGGTTAATCTATGTCCCCTACAAAGAACCACCTCTGGACAAGACCACCCTGAAACTATGCTAACGGTATTTTATTTAGCATTGGCTGAGGTATAGAAGCATTCCTTTTTTCCGGGCCGAAACGTCATTCCCTTCCCCTAGAGGCCTTTTCTGAGACTATTTTTTTGGACTTTTTCTCTTTCCTGCCATCAGACGAAAGGAATTTTCATTTGGAAAACACATTATTCTTCCACTTACACCGTTGCTATTCAGCCACTACCAATGGCCCCCAAGCGTCCTCGCAAGCCTACCGCAAAGTCCATGGCTGCCGTCAGGCTGCCGTCACCAGACCACCACCTCCACAAGAACCGCCCATGGGACCCATAAAGCCCATAGGAGGGCCCTCTAATGGACCCTTACCCCCCCCTATTCTCGCTATACCTCCTGCTCATCAGCCAGGTCCTCCAATGGGCCCACCCACCCCGTCAGAACCGGTCCTTAATCCCTACACCGTTCAATTACAACTCGCCCGTCAGGAACTCGAACCGGAACAGGCCGACGAAAACCATATGCTTCGGGACCGTGACGAACTCGCCCGCATACAAAACGAGGTCAATGAGATCCGTACCCGTCGCCAGTCGGCTGCCCCTACCATACACCAGCCGGTACCCCAAGCCCCCATGCCACCGGCCCATCAGCCGTTCCTATTCGCTCCACCTCCCCAGCCGTCACCTGTACCTCTCCAGGCCCCACAACCAACTTTGGCCCTGCCGCAGCAGAGAACGCCAACACCGTCTGAGACGGAAGCAGTGCCACGTCGCTCCTTCTTACATCAAGGTAATGACCCCATGATAGCTCCCCTTCTTCTTCGTTTCAAAGCGGTGGACCTGAAATACATCAAACAAATCTACCATGGGACGTTCGATGTCAAACACCTCAACAAACTATCCCATAGCTTCATTAACCGCCTCGCTGGCGGCGATGAGGAGACCAAGGGACTTAAAGAGCTTCTTCGATGCTTCGAGGTCTATGGCCAAATCATATGTTTCTTTGCCCATGAAACAGTTGCCCTACCCCTTCAAGAAGCCCTATCGGACTACCGCTGCTACATTTCTGACCTGTCAACTACCTACACCTTCCAATCGGTACGCCATTTCCACGAGATCTTCGTTTATGGTAGGATTCAGCTTTGTCAAGACGATGCCCATGCGTGGCGAACACCCGACAATCACCTAGAAAATCGAATCCTGAGACAGCGACCCCCGCCGACCCAACCGAGAGCCTACCCACTATACAATTCACGCCTAAGTTAGGCTTTACCCCAGGCATATCGTGGTGCTACTCCCACACCTTCTTACCAAAATACTCAAAACCCTCAACCGTTCTACTGCAATCAATTTAATCGCAATGAACCCTGCAACGCTCGGGGCTATCGCTACCTACACATGTGTAACGTATATAATTAATCACATCCTGCCACCAGCTGCACCAACGAAGCCTCCGCCAACACCACCCCGCTGGGTGTAAGGCCCCCTCCCACCCCTCGGCTATAACTAATACCGAGGGGCCTTGAGTCGATAGCCGAGTCATTCCCGTACATGCTTACCTCGCTGAGTAAGCCCCTACTAAAAAGACGTAGCCTACTAAAGGAAGACGGCTGGAAGAAATGGCTCAAGGATCACCCCGACCAGGTATTCGCCAATACCTTACTCGCAATCATCGCCCGCGGCGTTAAAATAGGCTACCAAGGCCCCAGTCAGTTACTGTTAAGTAAACCCCACCCAAGTACCGCTGCAGCACCCGAAATACTATCCAAAGACCTTCAAAAGCAGGAGGATAACGACCGTCTAACAAGGTTAGACGTGGAACCCTCGGAACACTTCATTTCGTCCCCATTAGGCCTTATCCCGAAGCATAACGATAGCTAGAGAAGGATTCACGATCTTTCCTTCCCACGGCTACACTCCGTCAACCACTACATTCACGAGGCCTACGGAGCACTCGAGTACACCATACTAGACGATGCTATCGATGCCCTACTCGCCCAGGGCGAGGGTGCAATTATAATCAAACGAGACCTCGCCGACGCATTCAGACACATCCCCATAGCCGAGTCGGACTTTTGGCTACTGGGTTTCTTTTGGGACGGCTTCTATTACATCGATAGATTCTTACCATTCGGCCTACGCACCGCGCCCTTCATTTTCGATCTATTCGCTAAGGCCCTTCATTGGGTACTCGTTGCCGTCCTATTCTAGAGCATCGTATTTCACTACCTAGACGACTTCTTCGCTATCCTTCCGCCTAACGGCGACGCAACCCGATTTAGCGAGGACTTTAATACCGTCTGCGATGACTGTGGCCTAAAGGTGAATCACACCAAGGACGAGAAAGGTACTCGGGTCGAATTTTTGGGAATTCAGTTCGATAGCGAGAAGATAGAGATCAGGCTCCCTCCCGACAAGCTCGAACGGGCGAGAAAGTCGGTAAAAGCCCTCCTAAATAGGCGGAGCATCCCCCATAACGAGCTTGAGTCAGCGGTAGATCTGCTATCCTTCTCCGCCAAAGTGATAGTCCCTGATAAGGCTTTTCTGAGAAGGCTCTACTCCGCACTATCCAAGAAAGTGAGCTGGGGCGTATAGCACATTTGTGAGAAGCAAAGTCGGGTCACCGCACATGTGCTCTGTGGAGCCGGAATCAATAATCCAAAAATGAGGTGATTTCAACACATGGCCTACTCGGACGGTGTTGACAACAATTGCCACCTCAGACCTCTCATCCAGAGCATCAAATTTACCCTGAATTGCTTCGTTCCAGTCAACTCCTTCTGATTGGTCAGTGGGGGCTTGAAATTCCCCAAATGGCTCTCCTGAGACTGCCTGGTCGGCATCCCGCCAGCTCACCACTGGTTCAATTTGCTCACTGAGGACTTGAATCACTCGATACGGTTCCCTTGAAGCACCACGCATAGCCTTTACCCAATCATTTGCCTCATTTTGGTCAATGGGGGCTTGGAAATTTTTGTATGTCTCCCCCGAATCAGTGTTTTGGGCTGGAAGAACAATTGACCGGCAGGTGATATTCCTCTTTTCTGGTGGGTGTAGCCGATGAGGTAGTTCCTTCCGTGGGCTTGCTCCTACACATAGGCTTCAATTGCCCTGACTTTCCACAATTGTGACAAGTCAGATCCTTCCTAGGACAGTCCTTCTTGATGTGTTTGATGCTACCGCAGCAGTCACACTTGCCGCTGTTGTTTTTGGTGTTGTTGTTGCTCCCCCCCTGGAGTCCCCCTTGGACCTCCCTTATGGCCTTCCTTGGAGCCTCCCTTCTGATTTCCCTAGGTTTTCATAGATTTAACCGAGACTTCAGCGTCTTCTTCATGGTCCGTTCATGATCATCCAGGCCTTTGACGATATCGATGTTTTCAGCTCTCTCCGTAAGAACAGTGCGATATTGGGACCACTCGACCCAAGGTTATTGAGAAGGCTAAAAAGCACTACGTCTTCCAATTTGACGTCCAGATCCTTCAATTCGATGTGTGCAGACTTGATCTGAGTGGCCATGTCCTAAATGTTCTTGTGCATCCACTGTAAGTGATAGAGAAAAGCCCGATAAGCGAGCTCCACTCTGACCGCCAGACCACTTGCTGTACACCTCTTCTTAAAAAAACCTATCTAGCTCTTACATCTTAAATATGTGCTAGGGCGCGGGCTTCCCAGTGTGTGTGTGTGTGTGTAATTCCTACGTCGGAGGGGCGCCCCTCTAGCCTTATAGGCTAGAGTGGGACCGTTTTTCCCCACTCGGCCTTTCGGCCATGTCCGGTTTTTACGTATAATGTGATATCTAGAGTGGCCCTAAAAGAAAGAAAGAAAGAAAGAAATCAAGAAAAATGGCATTCGATCGAGGACCAAATAATCTATGCCTTTGCTGTTCCATCAGTTGCAAGCTGATGGTCCAGCTCGTACTCAGTTCCCCCATTTAGTCACCCCTCATTTAGTCGCTCAGGGAAGCCGATGCCTTAAGGCTCTGCTCTCCGGAGTGTGCCTCTTTGTCTGTGGCTACGGTGATTCTGGGGGTGTTTCCATCGCATTGTTTGGGCGGGAGTTGTATCGCTCAGGGTTGAAGTGATTCTCATCCCACCATTGAGTTACGCCTGAATGGACGGCTGCCAGGTTGATTATCTGGAAGCCTCGGGCTCTACCGTCCGAGGGTTTGATAGGGGTGTTATTGAGCGCCGCCGTTGCATGGATCCAACTGAGTGCCGATAGTATACCTATGTTGTTTAGGAAGTTATGTCCACCTCCTTCGATTTCCAGTGGGGGTGCCCCCTGACCCCCCGCGTCGCCATATCTAATGGTGATCACCGGGTGTCTTTCTCTCCGTGCCGAGACCGTCATCATCTGGGCGATTGCGCCGAATTGAGAGGCGATGTATCTGCTTGGGGCCCAGTCGATGAAGTCTGAAAGCCCTTGGACGTCACTTTCTTCGAGGATGTGTTCGTCGAACATGAGGATATGCCATCCTGGGGCATTTTCGTCGTGTAGGAACGCGATGGCCTGGAATGTGAGTGAGGCATTCCCAGCACTATCTCTGTCGTGCGGGTCCGCGATGAGAGCGAAGTAGTTGCTTTCCCGTGTCCTTGGTAGTGCATCCCATAGCTCCTCTATCGTGTCGAGGTCCGCTATCCCGTTGGCCCGTTCTTTGAGATATTTCGACCTGAATGCGACCGCTCTGGGGTGGACTACCGCTTGTGTTCCTTGTTGTAAGTTCCCCAAAAGGTCCTTAACGACTCCTTCGAGTAGTGTGGAGGGGGCCGTTGTGTGTGGCAGCTTGGAGTGTTGTGTGGGGTGTCGGTCACGCCTTTTATGCGTTCCGCGCTAGTCCCCTCGTTGACCAACGATTAATATAAGAGGTCACAATCCTGCTTCTTCAGGTCCTCTACCTAGTTTGCGCCCTGTGATTGCTTTCGAGGTCACCGTTTGCTCTTGGCTCCGGACTATTCCCCTAGGCCAGGGTTTCACGTGATTGGTGGACGAAGCCAATCATCGCCTAAGTTAATCGCTGTTTACTCCTTAAGCACATCTCCCACGCAGACTAGGTGTACGGCACCGCTTTGGCTTGCTCTCTGCTCCGCCTCAGGCTTTCATTATGAGATAGTTGGATTCTCGTGGCTCTCGATGTACCGACATGCGCATACTGTCCTCTCGGGCTATGTAGATAGTCTCATTCAGCCCAAATGACTGACAGTGGCTACCATTACATACCACGCCCCACAGGGTTTGAATCCCTGCTTCGCGTTACCATCAAAGGTCTCCCTCATTCAGGCCGACCATGTCTCGCAGGGACTGCTACGGCATCGCCCTAGCCAGCGACAATACCGTAGTGTTTCCACCCTAGCAACCAAAACACGCGACAATCGAACTCAGAGATATCCACTCCCAGCCGATGACTGCGGGGGAAGACTTGAACCCCCAGGAGGTCTGAATCCGACGCCGGTCGTGTTCCAAGGGTGCCCTATTCAATAGCTAGCAGACTGACGCATCCACCGGTGAAGACCGGCTTCGGCCTACGGTGCCGATTCGTAGTAGCCATTGATCGGGTGGTTTTTATAAGCCAATTCCCTTGTGTTTGCCGGACGCGATCCGACGTGTTTCAGCTCCAGATAGGCCTTGTTCCTAGCTCTTTCAACTGTGTCCCAGCTGATGACTGCAAGGGTGGACTTGAACCACCAGAACTGATATATGTACGCGTTCCTAGCCCCCAGCAGATGACTGCGAGGGGAGACTTGAACTTCCAGGGGTATAGAACGCGTAGCTCCTTTGATCGCGACTTCGGCCCTCAGCCAATGACTGCATGGGGAGACTTGAACTCTCAAGGGTATATGTCGCGACTAGAGCGTTGTTATTGCCTTTACTTTCGTTTCTGCGACGCGTTAGCGACGGGGTTACTTAACCACTCTACCTCCCGATGAGGCCGCTGGACTCAGCGATGAGGAGGCAATGGCGACAGCGATGAGGAGGCAATGGCGACAGCGATGAGAAGGCAATGGCGATTGCGATGAGAGAATGAGATGAGGAGGCAATGGCGATTGCGATCAATAGCGAGCTTCCCAGTAGTAGAAAGCTTGTCGATACCGTGGGAAGACGCCTCAACACTACCTTACATACCTATGATTGACACCACACTCTGATCCTTCGGGGACTCTCAGAGAGCTCTCCGAGAACTGCTGTCGAACGGGCTACCGAAGCAAGCTCGAAGTGTCCAGAGTGATTCTTATCCATTCTCAGGGGGAGACCCCCTGAAACCCCCCCTAACCCTCCGGGCTCCGGGGGCTCTTTAAGGGCTCTCCAAAGGCTTCTGTCGGAGGGGCTGTCAAAGCAAGCTCGAAATTTGATTATACTGCTTTTTGCAAAACCGGGATACGGGATAGTTTAAACTCGGCTCGAGTTTATCCGGGGTGAAATGGATACTGACAGTTTATCCGGGGTGGGTGAAGCGAGCAATTACCTCACCCCTGCCGAGCTCTAAGCCCTTTTCCACTCGGCCTTTTGCCGAGAGCCAGAAAGAAAAAGGTTAATCCGCTGTTGAATACGTCTGGTGCGTCTCTCATCTTCTATTTTAGGAGCTTCACTATCGCCTCATGCCCTCCCTGAGCCGCCCACGACAGCGGTGTCTGACTATGTTTATCTCGGGAATCTGCTGCCACATCGTCTCGGCTCAATAACAGCTCCAAGCCTCCACTCTGGCAGAAAAAAAAATGAGGTGGTATCCGGGGGCCCCTACCAGAACTATCAGCCGCCCTGCAGCACCCCTCTTTAATTTCCCCAACGACTGGTAAATTGTTTGAAGAACGCTTCTACAATATTATTAATGTTCAAGACGTATCTGACCCTGATGGCGCTCGTCTCCTTCAAATCTGACAATACCATATTATCTTCCCTCTCGTTCGCTCGAAGGATGCTTACAACAACAATTTCTCCGGAGGCGCTCGAAAGTCGTGCCAGCAGCCAATGTAGCTCTGTACAGTCATCGGCAATATCCAATGCAGCCTTGGCCTCCCGTACTACGAGTACGTCTCGGCTCAGGATGATTGGACGGCAGCAGGCTCGTTTTCCCGATGCTGTTTGTTACCGGCATGACTGATCCACCCAGCTTTTGTCCCGACTCCTTTGACAAGTCAGCAGCCTCCCGGCCAATAGTTCTACTTAATGAAGCAGAAGCGAGTACACATAGGCGTCAACTGTCTCGCCTCCACCGCCCGTCACAACGGCACTAAAGGATCCCGGGCTCCCTGCATCCTTGTCTCCATCGATAGACGTTCACATATCACATTCGCCCATTATATTCGAACCTCAATTTCTATCTCTGTCCGTCATTTCATCAATTTCTAGATTCTAGAGCTGTCGAAGAGCCATTCCATTAACATCGGAGTTATCAATGGACCTCCTCTAATTTTCCTTGGTGGCACCACCACTACAGTACTGACGGAAACAGAGCTCCGTCCAACACCATCGCTGGGAGAACAAAGCTGAGTAAAGACACAGACCATGAGCTGCGCTTAAGCGACGCATGCGAGGTCCCTCGCATGCAGGACAACAGGAGCAACGGAGGTGAGACAGAGAGTTTGCTACGAGCTACCCTCGATAGATCACATTTTCTCTGTCGGTGACTGAACAAAATTCCGCCATACTGCTTTGCTACTGTTCCCTCTTTCCCTACTAATACAACTGACTTGGTCTCTCTGCTTTCATTTTTCATATCTTGTTGACAATGTCTGCACTGCGTTTGCTACGATACAGAAGGTACGATTCCTCTAGTCTATCAGTTGAACTATTACCGGACAAGCTAATATTGTCACAACCACAGCATAGTTCAAACCGTGGTCATCATTGTGTCCTGCTCTGTCTTATTAAAGCATCGACTAATCGTCGAACAGTAAGCTTGACCCTTCAGCCACCGGCCGCTTTTCACATACTAAGCTTTACACGACAGAGTACTCTCGAGCCGTACAGCGAAGACTGAAACCTCCAACCGCGGTACTCCTTCTAGTAAGTCTAGCCAACGAATCTCTTAGCCAGCGAGACTAATATAAACCGCAGCTCGCAAATAGAACCTACCGTGTTCACCTGAACCTGCCTCGTATGCGCCCTCAGTCTCAACCATACTGATCCTCTTCACCTTCGCAAATCCCATGGCTGCTGCAGCGTCACGCAAGAAAGACGCTCCGCCACCGTCAACTCCCGGCCAAGACGTCTACATGGGCGGTCCTGTCCGTGACATGGAGGGAGCAAATACCGGAAGGCACAATGAAATAGATCGAGCATTCCTTGCGTGGCAGCTATTGCTCTGGTCAGACGTTGGTGCTGTGTGTCTGTTCGACCAAACGACTTCAACTTGGAATCTGGAGGATGATCCTAACGCTTTTGGGGACTGTTACGGCGTCCGCTCCGCTCCGCGAGTGTATATTGCTACCCCTGATGGTGAGGCTTGATCACATTGAGGGTGGACGAGGTTTGGCTTCTACATAGCGGCAAGTCGGCTTTCTGAACGTCGTTGAGTTGGGATTTGATTTTAGGAGTATCGCATCAAGTATTTAGCAGCTTCTTAGCAGCTTCTAGATTCACTAACTCTCTTCTCCGTCCATAACTATATAGATAGAACAACACTCGATGCAAGCCTCTGCACATTTGTGCACCGATTAGACCTTTCATTGATGTGGTCGGGTGTTGATCATGATCGAGCCGTAGGTATTCAATGACCATCTAAGAGAGCGGTCGAATGCTGCAATATTCTGCTATGTAACACGCCCAAGTCGCAATCACAGGTGCAAACCCTCCATCCAACGAAGGTCCGTGGCCGTCGGCTTCGTGTAACCCGTTGGATTGGGTCTGCAATTCTTCATCGGGAGTACTGTTCCGAAGCGGCTTCTGCGTTAGGGTTTCTCCTGGCTCAGACGAAGTTTGATGGCGATCATAGCAGCAAGCGTACGGATTGAACTTCGAATAACCGATAAGTAGGGGTTGATTCAATCTTATCTGAAGTTGCTCGATTCGAGCAAGCCCTTCTTTATCGCCCATACCCTTCCAGACGCTTTTTTGCCGTTCGTATATAGCTATTCATATTATGAGTTAGAATAGAGTTCTTATGCAATGAGAGTTGCATACCTGAATGCTGTTCCTTTGTAAAGCTCTTCTCCAGTTGAGATCTATCGGGGGCCCCTTTTATCCAGCCGAGGAGGGATCGATAAAGTATGGTCGACACCCAAGCGATGGTATTCGGTGTAATGCTAGCTATCCAGGCTTTGCTTTGTGTGTTGCTGTTCGAGCCCCCCACCTTGGTAGACTTGATGAATTCAAAAATTTGATTGGCTGCAAAAAAGAAGGTACCTGCAGAAAGTCAATGTGAGATAAGAAACCATGAGTCCGAAGGAAATCGTACTCCATTGTGGTTTAGCGGATGTAGTAAACGATCTGTATTGTATTGATCGGTAGCGGTCACAAGACAAAGCTTATCAACTCGGAGAGCGATATCTCGCTGCGTTTGCTTCGTCTGGTCGATTGAGTAGAGAACGGGGATCAAACTTCGGCCCTTGCTTGCCCATTGGGCAAGCACCCCCTTTTGCCGTTTGATTAACTTAGAGATGTCAGAGGCGACATCGTACTTCGAAACATGAGCATCTACCTTCTGCAAATTATGAGCATCTATCTTCTGCAAATCCTCCCTCTCGGTCGTTATCAGCTGGGTATTCGCTGATTCTAAGCCAGCTCTTCGGCTCTATTCCTCCGCACATTCTGTCCATACAATTTTCATCTTGTCCTCGCCAATGAAAGGATCCTCATGTTCAGCTATAGCCACTACTCTCTCACTGACCTCCTTGTATATGTCCCGCCGAGCTTGTGTTGCGGCGAAGTTCTTTCCGTAGGGAGGGGGTTTGAATGAAGGTGCCTCGAATTTTGCCTTGAGGGGTAGAAAAAGGTCAGCATCAAGGCATATCACAGCGCTACTCTGGAGTGAAGGGGAGATATAGTACCTTCTTTTTTGGACGACAACCAGCGTCGGCACCCTTGCTGGCCTTCGAACCTGCGCGAGAGGCGGGTGCGAGAGGCGTGTCGGACTCCTCAATTCCACTGTGAGCTCCCAAGGGAACCTCTGTCGTCGACGCAGAACTGTTAGAAGGATTATTACCGCTCTTCAAGCTCACTGTGTCCATCTGTGAACGCGAGCGTTTACGTCCACTTCGGTTAGACATATTTACTGTTGAAAGACTGCTGTGCGGCCTCATACGCCGGATGGCGTGTGGACTGAAGAGGGGACGAAACTTGGACCATTTCGCCCAGCAGGATGTTTCTAAACCTCAGCCAACGCTAAGAGTCAATACGAATGTAACCATTATTTCCCTTTTCACCCGCAAATTAATTCTTTAAGTCTTCTACCTGGTGCACCAAATCATGACATAGTCACATTGTTTCCTGACAATTGTACTTGTAAACGTATATAGAAAAACTAAAATTTTTGATTTTTGATTTTAGGGTGTGTTAGAACTATAGAAAAGTTTTTTCTTTCTTAAGGATTATGCAATTAGTGATATTATTATTATATCGATTTACTATAGAATTTTGAAGATATTTTGATGTTACGCCGGACTTATCGGATTTTAGACCGTGCATCGGGCACTTCCGAGTACTCTATCATCTATATACGAGTACGTTTCTACTGATTGTTGTGAATTCTCTCTGCCTTTGAAAACAACGTGGCTCCAGGCCCTAACAGGCAGTCAACCTAGTACTCGGCTGATATTTAGGCCGGAACGAATCCAACACAGATCACAAGCCATGGTCCGTGAGTCCACACTGCCTCAGATAGCTACTCAAGAAAGACCACGGCACAGGCAAAGCACTACAAGCAGCGGAAGATCGCGACGCGTACAGAAACAAGAAGAAAGCTCGAATCCTAAAGCCAAAAGTGCCGAGGGCGGCAATTTATCAGTTGCCTTCATCAGCTCCAACGACAACGCATCACGAGTTTATGCTGGGTGACTTGTTCGGACGCCGTGAAAAGACTGTGGTGATAGTAGGTGCGGGCTCATCACGCGTACAAGTTCCCGGGCGCCATCACAGCGTCACAATACCTGCTAACGTCATTGATAGTACCACACTTCCATTCCAAAACCGGGCCCTTTGCCCGCTGGGGCCCCATATACTCGACGCCACTATCTACAAGACCAACAGTGGTCTGCGCAATCTTATGCGATGCTTCGAGAGCCGTCAGCTCTTTAGAAATAAGTGCTTTCCTCGAGCTTCTCAATCGCCGCGCGATGGAGAAATACCTGTTGCGCATGTACACGCAGACCATTCACGCAACATGAATGCCAAAAGAGAACCTCGCTAGTGCAGTGCCCTTGCCCCAAACGGCACCTTGCCCACAAACCATCCGAGTCCACAACGCCTCCGACAACATGTGGTGTGAGTGGTGCAAGACCTCTTCGACACGGATGCTCCTCTCTCCCGTGGCCCTGTGCTTCCAACGTGCGAGCCCTACGCCACGAACGATTTTCAACGCTCTCAAACTGTTGGAAAACGTAGGCGTGGCGTATAGCGGGGTACAGCCAGGGATTGTGCTATACGATGAGAACACCCGGAGCAGATGGCCATTGGCGCTCTCACTGATGCCAACATTCGCATAAGGCCTGATGCTTTTCTCGTGCTAGATATCAGTCTTAAGGTCCTATATGTAGCGCGTGGTAAGGGATCTCGAGGGAGCAATGCATGTAAGGTTCAGACCAGAAGGAATCGTGCTTTTCATCAAAGTGGATAATACTCAGGGTCAGCGATCTTTTTGATGCGACAATCCGAAAGGATTGTGAGCGTTCGGCAGAAAGGACATTATAAACACAGGATCACAGAAATTAAGCCTGATTATCTCAACTATATCGTTATCTAAATGCTTGAGGTTTGTATATCAAATAGAAAGTCTTGATATCCATCAGGTTGCAAGTGGACGACCATTTTCATAAGTACTTAATCTCGTTCTACCAACAACTTAAATCCTACACTATCCAGTCTAGTCGCCGCCCTCATCAACGAGAAATGATCTGAGGCGAGCCACCGAGGCGCATCGGCGCTGCCGATCGAGGTGGAATTTATGTAGCGGGTGCAGCGGAGTTCGCAATCTAAGGTACTATATGAAGATCTATCGCCAAATTTAGGGTTCTCCTGAAGGGCTATTTACTCCTCATCCTTCTTATACTCCAGACTGATCCACCCCGAGATTACCTCTAGTCTGGCTATGTTATGCCCGTCCTTGACAAGCACCTTCAGCGTCTCTCGACACCTCGTTGACGTGTAACCCGTAATCTGACTCAACACAGCAACCTATTAAACGGAAACGCGCTCTCTGACGTTATCTATACACTCCGCAGTCCCAGCTTCGAGCTCGTGGGAGCCGTGTCTTAGTTTCGTCGAAGACCTTGCGAAAGGCCAGCATGGGCTTGCTGGGGCCATCGAGTTCACCCAAGATATCCTTGATGATGTATTCCTCGGCGGTACTCTCGTAGATCTCAAAATCACCCCTCTAAACATGTATGCCCACTCCTTTCAATCGGCGTCCGCGAGGATCTTGCTTTTCAGGGAGATGAGGAAATAGAAATCTCCGGAGGATCGACGGTGACCTGAGCGCGTTAGAATACGTAAGCCTGTCGCCATCGGAGTTGATGTCTGTATCCTGGGTGAGAGGCATAAGCTCGTCTGAGTTTCCGCTCCCCGGGTATGATCTCGATCACCGCTCTCACAGTTGCTGCCGTATCAATCGAGCTTGCTCTGAACATCCTCGAGACCCCGCATTGAGGGTGCCACCGCGAGGCGTGGGGAACATGGATGAAGCACTTTATACTAATCAGAACCTTCAATATTGCTGTGGGAAGGAGTAGACCGACATACGGTACCACAGTGGCTCCAACTCTTTCTTCCATCGATGCAATCCCCGTGGTGTCGACAGCGAACCACCGATGTTACGGTCTGCCCGCTTCAGAGCCTCGTAGTAGGCGTTCCCCAGTGACCACCTCTCACATCGCTACCTCTCTCCCTCTCAACTTCCCCACTATGTCTTTGATGGCCTTCTCTTCTCCTCCGCCACGCTCCTCTTTGGAAGAGATGGCTTTGTGCGCTTTTTCATCGTTGGGTCTCAGGGGGGAACTAGTGCATTCGCAGGTATTGGGATAGATGCAACACTTGCTTTCCATTCTCTTGGAAGTGGGAGTCCACAGCGTAGACAGGAAACCCTATTTACCATCATTAGCAGGCTTTCAGGATACAACCCTCGGGGGTGGACGTACCGATATAGAGACCTGCACTCTGCTGTGTGGCAGCGAGAGCGATAAAGGCGGAGAGTACCCCGATGTGAGATAGCCATCGGCTAGGTCGACATTGAAATCTTCTTGAATCCCCCATTCTGTATGATCTGCGAGGATCTGCTAGCGCCACCGGATGTCTATGGCGTATATTTCTTCGACCCCCGCAGGTGTGTAAAGGTTTCGCTCTGTTCAAGCTTCTTTTGCAATTCGCCTGTGTATGAACGTAAACAATCTTTTTGGCTTCCCATCATACTTTGCGCTGGGACGTAAGCGTGGCCGGGTTTATACCTGCCTTAACAGAGCAGGCCGTTTGTCGTCGGTGTAGCCAGAAAGCCAATTTTGCTGTCTGAACTCTGATATGATCATATGGAAGGAGAAGATTTTTTGCGTACAGGGTGTTTTCACATCGGGCTGGGCCCCCTCAGCTCCCGAGTAGTGGCTTGGCACATTTCAACCCGCCCATCGAGATTCGAGACTGGCTTATAGTTGCTCACGAAAATTAGCAGAGGCTGGATGTGAAAAGTGTAAAAGACGGTACGGTAGCCACTAGAGTTTAACTAAAGTAGAGTGCCACGAGAATCATCTGCGGCACTGCGGGTCGACCCACTAAGGGTAAGGTAGCTTCCGGGGGATCCAGTCTCCAAAAACGACTTCGTCATCACCACATACTGATGATGGAACATCTCGCTATACGGCTTTCACAACCAGTGGGTGGTGGTATAAGGTAACCCTTTGCCGGTCTTGGCAGTAGGGCTGAATATCAATATGTGTTCACCACTTGCAGCAGTCCTCACTTCACTATGAACAATTACAATGGGATACAACTCGACTTTTAGTCAGTCCAGACCTTAATGATTAATCCTCGAAGTCTTAGAATCTCAAGAAATTTCATTATAGTGGTGTGTTTATCGCAACACTGCCAATATGTTGGTGGTTGCCAAGACCGGCAAGGGGTTATGCCACCCACTGGTGCCTGGCCATGAAATGATCCTTTTGGGAAGTTCTCAGGGATTTTCTTTTGAGCGGCCTTCTTGCTGAGGCAATTGCACATCCTCCAGAGTAAAGAAGTATTTTACGCAGCTGAGCACTGCAGATCACTTCGCACTCAGTTCAATGGTTCACCTGGCCTTTCGTATCCATAGCGCGTAGCTCATCTACCAGGCCCGCCAATTTGAACGTCTCACCATCTCGAACAAAGAGGGACAAGCGAGGGTGTCCGCCTTCTAGAGTCAGCCAGAGAAGGCAGCCTACCCTTTCAAATACTCTATCTTTACATCGAGCGAGCTCGAAGGACTATTATGTACTCTTGAGGCAACAAGTAGGCGCGCAGGGGAGAAGCTGACTCTCGGTAAGTTAGGTGAGCCCTCATTTGATGTGACATTACGTTAAAAGCATTCGACGCAGGGCCTCGGCAGACACGTTCGATTGAAAAAGTAAGCCATAGTTGAGGTATCAGAGCGCAGAGGAAAGCACCAGACGAGGAGATTGGTGGCGCGTCATTCACAGCCCAACAATCGGGTAGAGCTAAGGGTTGTGCCAGTGCTGGCGCGCCTTACGGCCAGGACATGGATATGGAAATGGACGGGGCGAGCGACGGACAGGCAGGCAGACAGCCATTGGGCAAGAGAAGAAGAGGAGCTGGAGAAGTTGTTCGAAAGGATACCAAACGAAAACGAGCTGAAAGAGAGGAACGAACCAAAGCTCAACGCTGTCTGGGGAAAGACAGCATACTTGTCGGTCCAGAGCCTTGCGGTTATCAACAACTCAAGTTCTACGAAATTGAAGGAACCATACTAGAGCAAAGCGCGCATTTTGGCAATAGGCTACATTGCTATGACTCTTTGGAGGCGCGATCCGGCAACGAATGGGACTTGTACGACACGAGACTACGCGCTGGCATGACGGGAATTGTGGCTGAAAACGTGAGAAATCTCTGGCCTCGGGTATCCGCGCAGTATCGGACCGAAGAGGAAAAGAGAACGCCTCATATCTCTGTTCAGATCATTACGACTGGTAAGCAGTTGAACGACGTCCTTACTTCACAAAAAATGGAAGTCCCAGCCTTTATTCCAGCGAAAAGTACACTGGGCGAGAGCTTCCAAAAGGACGAGAACATACCGAAGTCAATCGACGCCTGGCTAGCTCGACACAAAGATACCGACAAAGTCGCGATTCAGTCGTACGATATGAAAGCAGATAAGGACAATGACCTTCTGTTACCCACCCCTACGACGATTGGTGAATTGAAGGAGAGGCAGAAGATGCGACTAACCGCCGAAGGAACTCCATGGAACTGTTTGGATGTAGGGAATTATACCGGCTCAGGCTGGACGCCGCCGGTCATTGCGGGTTGTGACCTATACAAGCGTTCGATGAACCCAGCTGGGTCGCTGTCACGAACAACCCACGATACACTGTCGACCGAATTCGCGCTTTGTGCCACCAAAGGCGCAATGTCCAAATTCCACAGCGACAATGGACTAATGACCTTTATCACCAATGATCACGGGGTGAAAATATTCTATACGGGACATTCTGTGGCTCACATGCCACAGGAAGACCTAGATCGCTTTATCGAATATGGTGCAGATGAGTCACAGGGTTATTCCCGCTCATTCGCCAAGTTGCGACTAGGGAAGGGCGATTCAATGTATGTAAGCCATGTCCAAGAAGTAGAACGTTCATTCTAACCTTTACCTAAGCATTTTACCTCCGGGTTTCGTCCATGCTGTCTATACCGAAGAGGATTCTTTTGTGCGGGGTTGTTTCTTTCTGACGCAGCCGAACGTACCTTGGGCAATCCGGACCGTGAGGTTTTTGGAGGATCATCCGCAATGTACCAATGACGACCTTTCAGCCCAAGTCTTTGCGACCTTCGCAATGCACTGCGAGCATAACATTGAGAGAGGCAGGTCTGGAGGTCAACTGGATGCCCTCTTGATGGAGCGAATGAAGCTTCTGGCATGGGCTTTGCAAGCGTTTGTTAGAGGGAAACCGCCGCATCTTGATAAAACGCCGGAGTATATGGAGGAACGACGTGTGTTTGTGGCAAGGGCTAAGAAGGAAGGTTGGGTCAAAGAATTGATGACATTTGGCGAGAATCAGGGAAAGATGTCTCACCCAACTTAACAATTGGATGGACTTGAACTAGCAAAGATTATGGATACAAAGGGAACCACAACGCGGACAGGCAGTTATACGTATTTGATGGCGAAGTCAAGGCGTAAGGAGTAATTTAGCACTGACAAAATGGCTCAAAGCCGAGGGTAAGAAAAATGTTCATCCGTTTCAACGCCGATATCACGGGCAATAATTGTCGAACGAGGACGTTTCGAGATAACTAGTACGGCTCTTGAGTAGCACCCTGTAGCAATGCTAAGGTAGATAGTTCAGAAGTCCTTATGGACAAGGCCGCCGTCCGTTGGGACAGCAGCCAAATTGAATGTCCTTATGGACAGGGCCGTTGTCCGTTGGGACAGCAAGGAAAAGGAGGACTCCCAGGCCTACCTTCACGATTCAGTCGCCATGCAGTAGGTGTAATCGTCTCATCAACCATAGCCATATTCACCCGCTGACATAGGGACCATCTAGCGCATACTGCTTAGGCGTTGCACTTTCAGAAGCATCTTCAGAACGTTCGGACTGCCAGCAATGCTTACCTTCATTTAAACAGCCAACTGTATAATTTAGCCCTCGTTTCAAGATATGGAAACCATTGCAACCGAGCAGTCTTCCAGACTTCCTCTTCGCCTTGACGCCCTTGATTTACTTCGCATTTACATCATTGCCCAAGCAGCTGGGCTTCGTCTTCTTATGACTGTGGGACTTGGAGTATCTGAATGATTTGACGCGCAAATATTCAGCCATCTATCAATAGTGAGCCTTGCTGTAGTATACTGGGGTCATGCTGATCGTACAGCGGGTACAGAAGTTCTTCAGCCATCAATAGCGGCGACATGCGCAGCAGCGGATGGTCGTGCTGTGGCAGGGCCCCACGAATTCATTCAGGCCCAGAAATGCGGCCTCCAAACGGCAGAATACTCGATGAGGGTTAAGAATTAGGAACCTATTCGCAGGGTGCTTCTACTGACATGTTGGGCATACAGAGCTGTTCTTTCAGCTCTCAAATTCACAACGACCGTCGATAAGGAGTGTTTTGTAGGCGGGACATCGGCGTATCTGGTGACATTGATACTGGATTGGTGCCATTTTCTTAAGACATGAGAGACCTGGGAATCCTAGGATTCCTTCACGGGGTATTCCCGCCCATTCGTCAAGTTGCGACTAGGGAAGGGCGGTCCAATGTATGTAAGCCATGTCCAATAGGTAGAATGTTTATTCAAACCTTTACGTAAGCAGACGTAACTCTCGCTAGCATTCCCAAGGGCACGTCTCTCTACTTTAGTCTTCTCTGTCTTAGCTCGGATCGTTTTGTGAGGGTGTGAGACCTATTGTCATCGACCCTTGGCAAATGTGGAAGGCTGACCGCTACTGCTCTATGTAAATTTGAATGCTATCTCTGATTACCAAGCCTAAGAGGTCATAGGATAAAAGTTTGGGAAAGGATCTAGGAATGGCAACGCACAACGTGAAGAACCGCATTCACGGCTGCAATGGCGGGAACTATCTCACAAAATATATGCATGGAGCTACGAGATTTGGCGAGATCACGTATGTGGCTAGCAAGGCGAGGTCTGCCCAACCTGTGGAGCCGGAGAAATCCTGAATGGTCTTTAAGAGTTTAAAATTCTTTGATCTTAAGAGCACCAAATCTTCAAAGAATGCGGAAGTTGTAAGAACAGAGGGACTGTATGAGAGTTCTGGTGTACGAGAGTTCTGGTGTACGAGCCACTACAAGTTCATTAGATAGGATTTTGAAGAGCCGTTAGATAGATCGCTTGAACAGGAGGGATTTGCTTAGAATGGGGAGACGATGCTGCGAATGATAAGGCGAGACTTCGATCTGGAAGAGACCGTTGTAGATCCGCAGGCAAAGAAGCAGGCGCCGCCGGGTAGAGGATTATTGGTCTTCTAACTCTTCTCCTCTATGATAGCCAGAGGCCCAATTTCATCGCGGACAAAGAGTCAGATGACGCTTGGTGTCGAAGACTGCAGCTCAGTGAGTAGTGATCCTTGTTAAATAGATGCAGGACGCAAGTTCTCAGCGAGGCACAACGGTGATGATGTAGAATGCATGTGGATTCAGTGGTGGGGCCATCAGCTATTATGTAGCTGATGGAGAACAAAGCACTGCTATCTATGGCTAACTACATGAAAGGAACAATGATGGAATTGCATGGAAGGATGTAGGAAGGACGCATGCATAGAAGGAACTAGACACGCTGACACTCCCCCTGTCTAGTGACATCCAAATACCTCTATTCCAACGCCAAAATCATGTATCATTCTAGTGCTCTGGTCCAGGGTCCTCCGAATCGCTCTGATTGTTCTGGGTGTCCTCGGGATCGCTCGGTGTTCACACTCCTCCTTGACTCCCCCAGTCCAATAACATCCGTTTAGGATCCTCCGAATCGTTCAGACCGTCCTAGGTATCCTCGTGTACTTGTTCTTTATGGGGTCGTTCTTTGGGGTAGGTGAGTAGTTGTTTTAAAGTGATATGGGTGCCTACCGTGTAGGGCTTGATGGGCGGCTTGCTGTAGGGTATATCGAGTGATTGACTTCGTTTGGGATGTACTGGCGTCTGGTACGGGCATCGGACACAGGCATCGGGCATCTTGGCATGTTCTGGTACTGGCTTCGACACTGGCTTCGACATCCTGTTGAAAAAATCCTCCCCTAACGGCCTTGTTGGGTATATCGAGTGATGGACTTCGTTTGGGATGTATTGGCTTCTGGTACGGGCATCGGACACAGGCATCGGGTATCTCTGGCACTGGCTTCTGGTACTGGCTTCTAACACTGGCTTCTGATATCCTGTTGAAAAAATCCTCCCCTAACGGCCTTGTTGTAAATCTGTTGTCTTTGTAAATCCTTCCTTCTGTTCGAAATGAATGGAATGGATCTTACAAGTTTGTGGTTCGTTAGGCCCAATAAAGGGGACGATAGTGAGATTTGATGCGATATCTATCATCGGCATTAATCTAGGCTTATAACCTCTCAGCGAGGTATAACGGTGATAATGTAGAATGTATGTAGATTCAGTGGTGGGGCTATCAGCTATTATGTAGCTGATGGAGAATAAAGCATTGCTATCTATGGCTAGCTATATGAAAGGAACAATGATGGAATTGCATGGAAGGATGTAGGAAGGACGCATGCATAGAAGGAACTAGACACGCTGACACAAGTGGCTTTGGCAACATCTGGCTTTCACACCACACACCCAAATTCGTACTGTAGCATAGAAATCTCTCCGCAAAATCATTCAAATCAAGTAGCTACATCGCAGCTATACAACCTCAGCTATACCTCCAAAACGCACCAATAACGCAGCAGCCACCGAACGGCCGCCGTCGCCGCCCCTCACTCGCCGTCGCAGCAAGAACTACATCCCCACAACTACTGAAATAGCCTCTGCTCAAGAAGCTTAAAAATAGATAACTGGGGGGCTAAGGAACATGCCAAGACTTCAGTATAGCTTCATTTTTTCATTTAGGACCTATACTAACGATAGCAGTGTTATTGAATCATTTTGCTGAGAGATTTCTATGCTACAGTACGATTTTGAGTGTGTGGTTGTGAAAGATCTCCGGTGCCAAGCATTCCAGACGTTTTTGAATACGCCTAGTGCTGTCTCGCTAAACGTCCCACGAAAACTACACGCACAAATGAGTTCTAAATGATGATTGGCTGGGTCCTAAGGCCCAGTAGCACGTAGATAGCGGTCCACTATGCAGCTTAGCCTTAGGAAAACTCCTAAAACAGATAGCCCACATCTGACGGGAACCTGTCAGCTCTGAGCTGTATGAGGACGCTGGAGGCGACGTGATGCGGCGAGGATGTAGGCCGGGTGTGTCTCGATGTACAAGCGGTACGAGTCAGACTTCCAACGGCCAAGTAGTTGAATCTCGTCGTCGGTTAGGCCGGCGTCCCTCGCGGAGGTAGCGGCCCCCCCTGCGGAAAGAGTGTCCTGAGTAGTGACCCGGGTAACCGAGTGTGTGTAGAGTGCTACGTAGTGTAGCGGTGACGTACTATCTTGTAAAGGCCTTGCCCGGATTGAATAGCGGCGATGACCCACTAACAGGGAAGCGAGTGAACAAGTTTCGTAGCGAACGAATAGGGTAGGCGTCATTATTTGCAGCGGCAATGGATAGCGTGATCCCCCTTCTGAATGGGTCCGTCTTCGAGGACGGTAGCGACAGCTCCATATGGTGGCTATGTAGCGTAATCGAACGTCTTGTGATATGCCATCGTCCGAAGTCGCTATCCTCGGATTCAGCTTGGGACCATGTGAATTCGCCCACACGAAGGAATGTCGTAAATGCGAGGCAAAAGGAAGTATGTAGGGTGGCTCCCTCTAGGGAAGTTTTATCGAATTGGGTAAGGATGTGGAGCAGTAGGTCTCGTGTGATTGGACGGCGTTCTTTGGTATCGGCCTCGCCACGTAGTCTGCGAATACCGGCGATCACCCGCTGCAATAGTGGGTGGTGGAAGACCTCGAGGTCCTCGAATCCCATGTCCACATGGGCTGACCGGACGCCTATAAGATAGGCCTTGATGGATTTAACCTGAACGTGACGGTCGGCTAGACGTGCTATCCAGCCGGTAAGTGACTGAATAGTAGCGGGAAACGCGGTAGTCCTCGATAGGGCATAAAACTCGGTGTAGGAGGCCTTCGCCGTTTGATAGCTACTTCTCGTCTTATTGGCTAGACCTTATTAGAGGTATCTCGCGGCATTGCGGTTTAGAGGAGTCTCTTTGTATCATGATTTAGGTGGATCGCGGCTTAATGACTCCTGCGTAGGCTGAGAGCGCTCAGCTGTGGATGTAAGTTAGTAATTCTATTAAATTTGAAGCGAGAGAGTAAGTCGGCTAAAGTATTCCACTTGGTAGGGATTTAAATTATATTGCAAACGATGTCGTATCGAGCGAATAGCATGACTATTTGCCTGAGCGGTGTTATGGCCGGCCCACGCATAGAACTGCTACGGATACCCTCGACGACGGCGCCGTTATTATAGTAGAGCGTAAGGTGTGATTGGTGTAAGCGGGGTAGCCATCTGCGGATGGCTATAAGAACGGTAAGCATCTCTTTGAATTGGATGTCCTTCTTGCGGTAGCGGGTAGCGAAGTGCATACTAAACGTATCGTCTAGTTCAGGACGAGTGGCGATATCCTCGAGGATATACCCTCCCATTCCATGCTTACTAGAAGCGTCTGTCTATATGGAATAGTGACGGCGTGCGGCTGTGCGGCGGAGTAGTCGTATCCCGTTCCACCTGGATAGGAAGGTGTCCCACCAGCGTAGGTCCGCTGCGATTGCGGCGGTGATATGGTAATATCCTCGTTTTTTGGATAGTGCGGAGTAGAGCCTTCTCAGAAAAGCCTTATCAGGGACTATCACTTTGGCGGAGAAGGATAGCAGACCTACCGCTGACTCAAGCTCGTCATGGGGGATGCTCCGCCTATTTAGGAGGGCTTTTACCGACTTTCTCGCCCTTTCCAGCTTGTCGGGAGGGAGCCTGACCTTCATCTTCTCGCTATCGAACTGAATTCCCAAAAATTCGACCAGAGTACCTTCCTCATCCTTGGTGTGATTCACCTTTAGGCCACAGTCATCGCAGACGGTATCAAAGTCCTCGCTAAATTGGGCTGCGTCGCCGTTGGGTGGAAGGATAGCGAAGAAGTCGTCCAGGTAGTGGAACATGATGCTCCAGAATAGGACGGCAACGAGTACCCAATGAAGGGCCTTAGCGAACAGATCGAAAATGAAGGGTGCGGTGCGTAAGCCGAATGGTAAGAACCTATCGATGTAATAGAAGCCATCCCAAAAGAAACCCAGTAGCCAAAAGTCCGATTCGGCTATGGGGATGTGTCTAAATGCGTCGGCGAGGTCTCGCTTGATCATGACTGCACCCTCGCCCTGGGCGAGTAGGGCATCGATAGCATCGTCCAGTATGGTGTACTCGAGTGCTCCGTAGGCCTCGTGAATGTAGTGGTTGACGGATTGTGACCGTGGGAAGGAAAGATCGTGAATCCTTCTCCAGCCGCCGTTATGCTTCGGGACAAGGCCCAATGGGGACGAAATGAAGTGTTCCGAGGGTTCCACGTCTAACCGTGTTAGACGGTCGTTATCCTCCTGCTTTTGAAAGGTCTTTGGATAGTATTTCGGGTGCTGCAGCGGTACTTGGGTGGGGTTTACTTAACAGTAACTGACTGGGGCCTTGATAGCCTATTTTGACGCCGCGGGCGATGATTGCGAGTAAGGTATTAGCGAATACCTGGTCGGGGTGATCCTTGAGCCATTTCTTCCAGCCGTCTTCCTTTAGTGGGCTACGTCTTTTTAGTAGGGGCTTACTCAGCGAGGTGAGCATGTACGGGAATGACTCGGCTATCGACTCAAGGCCCCTCGGTACCAGTCACGGCCGAGGGGTGGGAGGGGGGCCTTGCACCCAGTGGGGTGGTGTTGGCGGAGGTTCCGTTGGTGCAGCTGGTGGCAGGATGTGATTGGCCATATACGTTACACATGTGTAGGTAGCGATAGCCCCGAGGGTTGTAGGGTTTATTGCGATTGAACCGATTGCAGTAGAACGGTTGAGGGTTTTGGGTATTTTGGTGAGAAGGTGTGGGAGTAGCACCACGATATGGGTTCTTGTGGAGGTGGTGGTCTGGTGGCGGTAGCCTGATGTGCAGCTATGGCCTTTGCGGTAGGCTTGCGAGGACGCTTGGGGGCCATGGTAGTGGCTGAATAGCAACGGTGTAAGTGGAAGAATAATGTGTTTTCCAAATGAAAATTCCTTTCGTCTGATGTCAGGAAGGAAAAAGTCTAAAAAACCTCTTCTTGCGACGAGAGGAACAAGAATGAGGAGCAAAAAACAGGTGGGAACACCGCCTATTCAAGGCTCTTCCAACATGGCAATCTCGGCTATCCTGCCATAAGTGTGCTGTGCCTCTCCCTCACTAGCCCCCAGTCAAGCTGTGGCGATAATTGGCACTGAGAAAATCGCACACAAGACCACTCCTGATGCGCCTGTACTGACACCCGCATCTGCAGTATCGATGACTACCCTACCGGCAACTCACCCCGTTTCAAAGAGTCGGACCCTCACAACTCCAGCCTGACGACACTCACCCTTGCTAAGGGTACTCCTCGTGCAGTCACACCTTCAGCAGACCCTCCGACATCGCATCCTACGAGTCCTCCGCCTGCATACCGAACTATGGCACCTAGCCGCCTTCATACAAGTTAGGGTCCTACTTGGCGGTGCGAGGCCTCTACGAGTGATACGTAAATCGCAAATCTACGCGTTCAACCAGTTCAGCTAGCTACCTTACTATGCAGGACCTCTAAAGGCCTGGGTATGCCCTCCAGAAAACTACCGCCTTTCGCCCCTACCTCACGGATCGCTACGAGAAGTACGCGAAGGCTGGTCTCAAGAATGATTCAGTCAACCACATCTCAAAGAGTACTCCATTTGCCAGCAGGGCGATCAAGACCTCACCGAGAAGGAAGGACACAGTCATCACGAAGCCAGTGCCAATTGTTGGAAATGTATGAAGGATTGATTGATTAACTATGGAATGGTATGTAGGCTACTTATATACCATGTGAAGCCCATGCTAATTTGCCACCTGATTGCCACCATGAGGGGTATCTACAACACAGGTGCTGCAGCAAATCTCAACACCAATGGATTTGACTTTAAAGTCTTCAGCTACGAGCAAGGCTAGCCAAATCGAGTTCAACGCAGTCAAGTCAACATACGGTTCAAATACTTCGCCACTCGACTTCTTTCGGGCCAGCAAATCGAGTGCCAAGACTCCATATTTCACTACACCAAAGCCGATTACTCAGTAACTCAGTGCTCAATGACAACATCATGTAGCAACTTCTTTCCTTGCCTCCCCCCAAGCTATCACTTGTAGCTATGATCGACGCAATACTACGAAGTTGAGAGTACGTTGTTAACGATATCGTTGCTGTCGCGTGGTTTCGTGGGTTTTTCTTCTTAATGGACCTTGACCGAGAATCTTTCTCTGTCACTACTATTAGAACCATACCGTGTCATAGTGGTACTCACCACTAAAAAAAATGGATTCTTCGCAGATACGTCTTACCCTAAATGCGTCTTCTGTACTTCAGTACTCCTACACCAATGACGACGAGGATACTGTCTTTATTTTTCTTCTTGTGGGCGTCTGGGTACCTCTTGGGCGCTTATTATGTGCAGTACATCTACCTGCAGTAGCATCTCTACGGATGCAATGAGTTGATGTGCAATGTAACACACCTGCAAGTACCTGCAGTACATCTGCAAGTGTAGCAAGTCGTTGACGCACCCAGTCCATCATGACGCAGTCAATTCATCCGAGGCAGCAAGTCTATAATGCAACTAGTCATCGCATCTGCAGCACACCTCCTGCCTGCAGCATGTCGAATACGCAGCACATCTATGTGACTTCCTACAGAAGAATAGTACGGAAGGATAGCCACTGTACCATGGGCAGTAGCATTTCTTTTTACGGGTTTTAATGGTGGTGCAGTCAAGTCAGTCAGCCAGCCAGCCCACAGCACAACTTCTTCAGCGAATCATACGAGAGCATGCGATGCGGCTGAATTTCGTACATGACGTTTTTCTAGCCATATGATCTCATGGTGAACTTTCCACCTTCCGACTGCGAAACTACCACTACCTTTCAGTTAACTGACCTTCTTTCAGCAATCACATGGCCCCTATTCCTCGGCTTCAGCATGCATCTTTTCATTCATAAAAGGCAGTAGAGCTCCAAAGAGGTGGATCTACATTGACAACAACCTTATGGTCACACCTCGCCTCTGCACACACAACGCCCTCCTGGATAAGTCTCGCGTACAAGGATCTGTCAGGTAAGTCGATCGGGGCGTGTTTCTTGCATAGTCCAGCCGCCTGACAAGCTATGTGCAGGGAGTGCGGGGAGTGCGGCCGTAGAGCCCCACCGCCATGGCTGCACCAAAAACAAATCACTTTTCGATCTGGAACAGAGGTTCTGCCAAAATTTCAAAATCTATCACAGATCAACCCGAGACTACTCAGGAGAGTCACACCTATCATTCACCCTATCATTCTTTCTTTCCCATTTGGACCCTCTTTAGTCCCGTGGCTATATCAGATCACGGTCCCGCGTCAACCACTACCATGCATGGGGCATTGGTCCCATCGACTTCAAATCTTACGCCTTGGTTTATATGACCTAATGTCCTATTCGAGGTTGTTTTTAGACCCCTAAAGTATGATGTCGTCGCCGCCATCGCCGCTGGAGAAAGATACGAGTTTGGTCATGAGTTGGCCACCGAAAGTCATTGTTTTTTGCGTATTGCAAGCACAATTCCAAGCATTTGTATAGGATGCAAGCGCGTTATTGATCACCCATCATCATGATAACGTACTCACTTGACAACTGCCGCCACCAGCCACCCTCATCAATTGATTTCAACATCAAAGACTCACTCCGCTTTCTTCAACTTCATCACTTGAAT